AAGTCTCGAGCAAATTTGGGCTGACACTAGTGCCTTGCCGTCTAAACGACCTCCACATGGCCCCCGGAAGAGGTGGAAAGACCCAGTCAAACATGACCTGGCGGCGGTGTCCATTGGCATGAATGAGTGGCTTGACACAGCAGATAATAGGTCTGAGTGGAGAACCAGGTGTCAGGATGGTGTCTAAAGGGTGGTATGGTCTCGTGTACAGCCTGCCGTGAAACCACTCCTGTGTATGGTCTGCACACGCCGTTTCAGCCATCCTCAAGACATCGCTAGACATAGTTGCACCTCCCGTCGCTCCGCAAAAGCAAAAAACAAACAAGTGAAACAGCCGTTCACGTCCCACCGGACTCGCAGGGCCTCGTGCTGTGTCCCGAAGACAGCACTCCTTCAAGTAATGTGCACCCCTTACGCATTATATAATTATACTTTATTTAGTTCTCTCCCCCTCTTTTGCCCCAACCCTCCCCGCTCTCTATCTCTCTCTCTCACTCTCTCTCTCTCTCTCTCTCTCTCTCTCTCTCTCTCTCTCTCTCTCATTTTTTTAATACTTTATTTAGTTCTCTTATTTAGTTCACCTGCTCCCCAACCCTCCCCGCTCTCTCTCTCTCTCTCTCTCTCTCTCTCTCTCTCTCTCTCCCCTCTCTCTCCTCTCTATCTCTATCTCTCTCTCTCTCTCTATCTCTCTCTCTCTCTCTCTCTCTCCTCTCTCTCTCTCTCTCTGTATGTCTCTCTCTCCCTCTCTTTCTCTCTCTGTTATTGGCGCGCCTGGTTGTGATGAAGCCGAGACCCAAGGTCGGCAGAGCATCCCAGACCCACGCCACCACTCCCCTTATTCATGGCTCACACATGACGGGTTAACGTGGCTCTAGTAAAAAAAATAAAAAGCGCCCGTTTTGGAACACATAGCCAACCGTGGCAGTGGGCGAAGGAAGGAAGGAAGCGTATAGCGTATATTTTAGCTTATGCCCGTACATAAGCGTATTCCCGTACGTTAGCTTATCCCCGTACATTAGCGTATGGAGTATGCCTATGTATAAAAGCTGCTGCTCGCAATTTTTTTCATGCCAGTTAAAAGTTACATTTCAATTAGAGTTAATTTACCTTCATTTCAGTTCAGTTCAGTTTTTTTTAAAGTTTTTTTTTACTAGAGCCACGTAAACCCATCATGTGTGAGCCATGAATAAGAGGAGTGGTGGCGTGGTCTGTTTTTAATAAACAACAGTGTGTTCACTGAGACCCTTGTATTTCTTGCCTTCAAGTGACTGCGGCCCGCTACAAAATTTGTGGCAGCGGTGGTTCAATTAAATTTGTGGGATTCAATCCGACATGTTTTACATTGGTGGCAATGGCGCTACAAAAAATTGGCGGCGCACATAGCATAGCATTGCGGCAGTAAGAAGTCTCTACCTACGGACCGTCTTTCAAAATGCGTGACCCGCGACAACGGCTGCTCGGTTTCGCTGACGGGGTGTTCGTGGGGTATGCAAACCTGGTGTTGTGGAGACCGGCAGTGATCGGCCTCTGCGGACTACTTCTGGCAGTAGCATTCTCCTTCTGACTTCTTATTATTGATGAGGAGAAGTGAGACTTGAATGCTTTGTGGATCGACCTGAACTCACTAGTTGTTGACGAGAGGAAAGTTTTTGAGGATGAGATTGGTGGACTTACGAGAAAAACAATGTGTGTCTGTGGCAACATCGTTCGACAGTCTGTTTCCTGGTACTTCCTCCGTATACAAAAACTTCGTACAATCGCTAGCACGGCCCGCGACTCGAAGCCCAATGAGCGGTAAATTATTTTCTAGTTACGTACGCCTGCTGCACCAGCCGCCGCTCCTCCTACACCTGCCTGCCACGTCCATTAATAGCCAGAAATGATGACAGACAGCGTCTCTCCCAATCAAGCTCCATGCCCAATGTAAGCTAATTCCCGATATGGCATTTTCTTTCCTGTCTTCTTTCAGTCTTCCTATTCTCTCCAGTTTTCCTTTATGCGAGTGTGTGAATCCATTTTAGTTTGGTAGGCGTCCGATCATGGTGAGCCATGATCTACCTAGCTAACCTGGGACAATGTGTGTGTGTGTGTCAATGCCCCTTATAGTGTATTCAGTTCGGTTTGAACTGCCATGTTCCTGGCGGGTTGTGCCAGCGTTGTGCAGCAAGTGTGCTGTGGTTTTTCAGGTTCTATTTGGAGGACGGTTCTTTACCCTTTTGACCCCGTGAGATCGTGTGAACCTGGCGTGCTATTACTTTTAAGTGATTTGTTTACCTTCTTCTGCCTACTCCAAACGTTATCATTTCCGTTATTATTTGCCATATTCCGGTTGACGCTCTCCCAGTAATTCGCGATCTACTATAATGTTCAATGTTCGCACCACCTCTTAGTCCTGTGATCTGCTCCTGCCCGCCCGCCAGTATTTCAATGTCAGTTACCTTCTTTGCGTCTGGATATCAACCGAGGCTGTTCACGAGGCTGTTCACGAATGGAAGTCATCCATTCTGCCTATCTCCTATCGTCGAGTTTATTCCGACACGACCATGCATGCCGACAGTGTCTTCTAATCTCAGTCAATTATCGGAGTCCGGCGATCAACTAAGTAATCTTTCTCGCCCAAGTCTAGTCTACGCATCTTTATTATCTTCTTTCAGTGTTCATCAGTTCGTGCTCTGCTACCCGTACTCAAATCACGAGGACGTGATTGTATTTGAGAAGGGAGGTGTAGCGTTGGCACGCTGGTGACTTTCACAGCGTATAGCGTACAGCTTAGCTTATCCCCGTACTTCCTCCGTATACAAAAACTTCGTGACTTTTTTTGAAAGCTGCGTACAGCTCTGGAATTGTTCCGTTTGACTCGGACTAACACTCGTGGCATTGTCTAACCTGTTAACAAGCTATATACAAAGAAAAAAGCAACTCAGACGAATGAGATTGAGTTTTTTCAGAGTCTTCGTTGCTCATGTCATTGTCACCTGACGACGCTGACTCCGCATCGCCACCAGTCGCTGCTTCTGCTCGCATTTCGTTCAGATTATTGTCACCTGCAGTGATGATCCGACGCTGGACTTTGGCTACGTCCTCTTCATCTCTAGAGCTGCGTACGAATCTGTGTCGACTATATTCAGTCGTTCCAACCCGCGACCTCCATTATGCCGTAAAACGAGTCGTACAAGCACATCCACACGCTTCGCATCTTCTCGCGAGGATAATCCTCCCAAGCATTCTACAATGGCTTCGAGGAGGTCCCTGCGATTCCCCTTGGCGACAAAGGAGACGTCTGACTGGAGAGAGGCGAAGAAAGCCAGGCCATCGATATTCCGATCCTGAGTCTGCTCTGGTTGCACGACGACTGAAATGTTTCATCTTGCCATGCGAGCGAAGCAACTCTATGTTCTCACGCTGCGCGGATCTATGGGGCCGCGCACCGCAAGTATGAGCCTGGCCAGTTTCAGGGCAGCGAGTGCCGCGTGACTCCGTGCTCCAGGAGCAAGCTACACTGTGTCAGTTTCGAGCAAGTCAGTGTTAGTTTTTTTTCATTTGACTCTTGAGTTTCTGTCGGCAACGTCCTCACACGTATGGCGTCCGTGGAGAATCTGTTCGAGATCAACCAAACTAACCTCGACATGGACGTGGGTTGTCGATGACAGCCTTTGGCGTGATTCGTTGAGCAGGTTCTTGCTCAAAAACACCGTTCAAAAAAGTCACGAAGTTTTTGTATACGGAGGAAGTACGTTAGCGTATCCCATACATTATCATGCGGAGTCTGCCTATGTATAAAAGCTGCTGCTCACAATTCTTTTCCTCTTCCTTTTCTTCTTTTTGGTTCATATTCTGTTTGAACTCTAGCGTGCTAGGGTGGCCGCTGGTGTTGAGTGCCTCGCTGTGTATGGGAATAGCATCACAGAACTGGTTCTGAGCAGGTGATGCTTGCCAGTCGGTTGTTGATGTCTGCTGGGATGTTCTTGAGGACTTGCGGTGGGTGATTGCATTGAATGTTGACGTACAGTGGGGTGTCATAGAGAGGCTCACTGGCTCACTGTGATATCTAGGTAGTTAACGGCATTCAGCTTGGTGTCTATAGTGATTTGTAGCAGCTTAGGATCTTGAAGATGACACTTACTCTGTGCCAGCCAATGGAGTTTAGAGGGTGGCAAGCCCGTCGTTTCTGTAGAGGCCAACAGAGCCGATGCTGAAGTGCCGTTTGAGTTTGCTTAGGAGGAAGGTGCCGACCAGTTCACATGCTTCAGCGCCATCGAAGGATCCTTTGGTGATATCGAATAGTCCGTCTCTGTTTTTTTCTTACCCATGTTCGGTTAGTTCCGAATAGGAGTGAATGTCTCGCGTGCCGGATTATTTCGGGATCACAGCCTGGAATTGTCACAAACTGCTTGGCGTAGGCGACGGCTAGGCGCAGGAGGTTTTCCGAAGTAGATGGATAAATATCGACTCTATCTAACAACCCAAATGTGGGGGTGGCTTTCTCCTCAACTGCCTTGAACCAGTTTATGACGGTGGTTGTGTTTTTCCATAGGTTGATGTTGGGTTTGTCCCGCACCGCTTCCACTGTGCTGCTTAGTAAATTTTTCTGCGGACTTTGCTGGATCTATTAAGCCGCATAGCAGGAGAAGTTATCTTTATGGTCATTGAGGATGACGAATCCCTCTGCCTTTGCCATGGTGTCGATGTGGTCCTACAGGCTCTTTTCAGCAGCGATGTTGTCGTTGTAGGCGCCTTCTGGTGCTGCTTGGCAAATTATTGTGATGTTGTCGTCGTAGGCGCCTTCCGGTGCTGCTTGGCAAATTCTTGTGATGTTGTCGTGGAGGAACTTCCTGTAGTCTTCTGGCGGCATTTTGTACAGGTTTCATGTTTTGTCTGCGGATACAAGTATGTCGTTGGAGCTGGTAATAGTTTGTAAATCTTCCTTCATCTTGTCCTGTAGTTCGTCATGCATGCTGTGTTAGCTTCCGTTGCCAATCATATCGTACATATCGTCCTACACGCAATTCCTGCACTTTGCCTGAAGCCCCAACATCAGCTTATACCAGATCTCCGTTTTTTTGCTGCCTATTTTCTCTGGTTGGCCTTTCCTTTATCAGAAAAATTGTCTTGAAATGGTTTCAAGTTCAACAAGAAGCTTGCGTTTTTATAACTGCTAATTCTTCATTCAGATTTGATTCTCTTTGCCTCGCCCTGTGTAGGTTATTGCCTCTTCTAATTTGCCATTTTTCTTGCCCTGTTTTTGCTTACTGCCGTGGCTGGCTATTGCCCCCCCCCCTCCCTCCATATTGGACTATATTCCCTGGCAACGGGGAGGTGAAATAAATAAAGTTAAAATAAATAAATACCTGTAGAAAGGAAATGGACATATGGATACGAGTTAAGAGTAACTCTCCATCACTGTAACTGGATACTATATACAGTCAGAAAGTGCAATAACTAGGCACAAAACTGACAGAGTACTGAGACATTCGATGTCCTGACACCTAGCTTCAACACATCTCCGTAGCGCTAACGGACAGCCTTCCAACTTGGAAGGTTCAATGTTATGGGAGGACCAAAGAGGGGAAGGCAAGCGCAACGAAAACGAGCAAAAGCTACAGTCCCAACGGAACAAAGAATGTCGATTGTTACTGGACGATGACGAGACCAGTACGATATTTGACAAAGCGGTCTAACTACAATTCGAAGCAGCAAAGTAGCATGCCACCCAACTTGGGTGGGTCATAAATAAATATCTCAGTACTCTGTCTCAGTACTCTGTCAGTTTTGTGCCTAGTTATTGCACTGTCTGACTGTATATAGTATCCAGTTACAGTGATGGAGAGTTACTCTTAAAAAAAAAAAAAATTTCACGGTTCGCGTGAGACTCGGCTGGAAGCCGAGTTTTCCGCATCCGCCGTGGGAACGCCACCAATTAATTGGGAACTCGTGGCCTGGCACGAGGGTAACATGGATGCAGCTAATGGGATTTCGGTCTTTGACCACTTGGTGGTGGGTCTGATCTACTCACCTCCCACCGTTTAGGCGCTGCATCTGCGCCTTTGATCCTAGAGAGTTACTCTTAACTCGTATCCATATGTTCATTTCCTTTCTTCATTTATTTATGGCTCAACATCTGAGTTTTAAATAAATATCGGCTACGAATTTCTTAATCTCGCCCACTTGCGGTGGTCATTTTCGCATTTTGAATCCAAAATTCTCTCCTTACAGTCGATATAAATACCCTTTCTATGGGGTTCGGCGACGTCAAAAACTCACATGATGTTGTGCAGTGTTCCAGTTGTACGTTTCTAGTCCCTTTTAGCGAGCAGCGGAGTGATAAAAAGCGCACTCTGACAGAAACTCACAATGTGTATGCAACTCGCCAGCATGATCATGGTAGATATTCGGATTGCGCACACGCTATCCTTCATTTGTACGTAGTATGAAATGTACCTTAGACACATGATGTGAGTTTCGCTGTCGGACACCCCGTATGCAACACTCTTGGCAGCTCATTTACTCTTCATATTATTGCTCTATGAGTATGGGCAATATAGGATCAGTCGAGGATCAGTCAAGGATCAGAAGAATTAGTGGAGGGCGATATAGAATAGTGATATTACCCGATGTGCTGCTTGAAGCATAGCTGGTTGTCTGATGTGACTCTGATGGAGCTTGTCCACCTCAGGTTCAGCTGTCCCCTGGAATGTCAATTTAAGTGTCAGTCACACCATGATTCAGTCTTTCACAACTGCTGACATCTACACCATTTAATACTCTGTGGGTATAAAAGTATCCAAACGTTTTCCTTTACTGCTTTCTGATGCTAGCTTAATGGGTGAAACTAGGATTAAAAACATGATTTTCATCCTGTTACTATTCTTGAACTAGCTCTGCCCTTCGGCACTGAGCACTGCATTCGACAGCCTGGAACTTCTCTGTTAGAACAAATCTTCTCAAACATATTGCTGTACTCAGAGGTGTGTTTCAACTCGGATGGGACGATTAAAGACTGGTTTTGTTGATACTAAATAACTCTTTTTTTTCATTTTCTCCAGAGATTTATCCTACAACAACTTTGAAGTCCTGGAAGCTTATCAATTCAACTATCTTGTCCGAAACAAGTTCAGACAAAGTATCAGCGGTGCCATATATTATGACTTGTAAGACATGTCTATTTCTGATATCCGCTTTCGAGTTTGCTTTCATTATTAGTAAAAAACGAGTCGGAAATGACTTCGTTAGAAAGTGCAAAATTACACGGGTTTGTTTGTTGATGAAATATTTCGTGATGGACAGTTGCCATCAACCAAGGATCGGCAGCTTCCCGAAATTCTTTTCTGAAACATTCACCCCTTTTTGAAATAACAGGAGCGTCTAGAAAAAGAATTCAGCAACCATATGGGTATGACAGTTTGAAGGAGTTACAGCCGCTAAAAGGCGTAGAAACATGGCGTACAGAGATAGACAGTTTAGCATTGATGGGAATAAGTGTCTTCCAGCCTTCATCTCTTGCCACAATTATTCATTATAGGAATACAAATTCTATTAACCCTTTGCCGGTCTAACTCAATGTATGTGAGGGGTGGTCACGCAAATACATGTACACACAACCAGCAATAACTCAAGAACCATGTGATGTAGGTATGGGTAAACCATATATTTTCAAAATCTGTATGCCTGAACGAGTCCAGAAAATTCAAATATGACTAGGTCCAGGCAAGGGTAGGGCCATTGGTAGCCCTTCAAGTTGAGAGAAAATACAATTGCGAATGAAATACACGAACATCACAGCACGAAGGGCATACCAAGTTCGTGATGGAGCTGAAGTCGTACGATAAACAATCAGGTAAGGGCTACGTCTTTACAGGAAATGCAGGCTCTCTACAATACCGCCATTGAACACCAACACCTCGCCATCGGCGATACGCCAGCAGCAGCAATTTCCATTCCACGATATCGCAGCTTCGGTTTGTTCATCTCAGGGCTGCTCGCGTCAGATTCACTCTCACTCAGATGAGCACTCAGGCGCGAGCTTACGCATGCCGTGATTCTCACGGCCAGGCGAATCAGTTGATCGCACCTGATAAGTCCTTGTGACAGTCGCTGTCGCCGTGTCGGCAGCAAGAAGGCTTCCTCTCTGTTTGGAGAATTTTATTTCTTCATTCGTGGACGATATATTTTTGAACTAGCAGGACTCAACGGAGCTCTTTTTCTCAACACACTACACTGCAAACCTCCCGGGAGATCCAGCCTGGACTGGTGGTGTTACTGCTCTCAGAACGCTTGTCAAACACGGCCCCAAGAGATGCACTCGCATTCTCGAAATACACGCATGGCGGATGGTCGTCTTTTCCAATTTCAACAAACTTCAGTCGATCGATACGGCAAAAATTTGTATGGTAAGCATGGTTGTTTTGTACATCGTCATAAAGCCTTGGACCTCAGCTACGCGTAGAGCGCCTGTTTAGCTGTCTCCTAGCAACAAGACCCCAAAAAAATGAGAGCCAACCATACCGATACTATAGTATCGGTTCGCTTATGGTAGACCGGTAGAGGGTTAAGATTTATACTGGTGGCAAGATCACGTTCCCGTGTGCGAAGCATAACACCCATTATCGCCTTCTTAGTATTTGACCCCACTAATTTCCCTGATACCTAAGCGGTCAAATATATCGCGTATTTGACTGCTTAGTCAAATACACGATATATTTGACTACTTATATTTGACTCCTAAAAACTTCTTGGACTTAGAAATTTTCTCTCCAACTTAGAAAAAGAAATTTTTGAAGAAAGCAGAAATACACAAGATGGGATTTGAACCCACAACCTTGTGAATCTCAGTCACTTTTCCTTACCACCCAGCCACCGTGCTACCGATGCTGAACCTAGTTTAAACAATGATCTTGACTTTCAATACAGTACAATGCGGTATAGGCTATAGTATAATACTAGAATTACAAGGATATGTCGTATATGAAGAGAAACTATTGCGTGGAGAACACGATAAATAGATTATAGACCTCATAGTTGGTCTATACAGGATATATAGACCTCGTAAAAGACCTCGGGGGACCTCGGTCTTTTACTCGGTCTATATATCCTGTATAGACCTCCTAACCGGTCTATAATCTATACTTATCACCTTCTTAGTATTTGACCCCACTAATTTCCCTGATACCTAAGCGGTCAAATATATCGCGTATTTGACTGCTTAGTCAAATACACAATATATTTGACTACTTATATTTGAATCCTTAGAATTTCTTGGACTTAGAAATTTTCTCTCCAACTTTAAAGAAAAAGAAATTTTTGAAGAAAGCAGAAATACACAAGATGGGATTTGAACCCACAACCATGTGAAATCTCAGTCACTCTTCCTTACCACCCAGCCACTGTGCTGCCGATGCTGAACCTACTTTAAACAATGACCTTGATCCTGCAATGCCATACAATGCGGTATAGGCTATAGTATAATACTAGAATTACAAGGATATGTCGTATATGAAGAGAAACTATTGCGTAGAGAACACCATAAATAGATTATAGACCTCCTAACCGGTCTATAATCTATACATATATTCATTATACTCATAGGTTTGAGGGACAGGTGAAAAATGGAAAAATCCAAATAAAAAATTGACTGACACCACCAGGACACCAGGACTCGAACCAGGGACCTTCGCTTCCGGACAGTAATGCTCTAACCTCTGATCTATGGTGCAGTTGTCATCCCAGCAGAGACTGTTCCACATTTTCTTCACACTTCAAAAACCACGCTTCCTTTGAATCCACACAGGTGGGTGAAACACAGCCCTCACTGTAATCCACACACGTCACGTATTAGACCTATTCTTCAAGGGTTTGTTTGGAGGCGGTCAAAATAGTGTTGCAATCTGTCACTTTGCAGGCAAAGACGCAAATCCATACAATCAAGTAGACATTTTCTTTCATCTATCAAACGTTTTCTTTCCCTTCTCTTCAGGATAGTAAAGATAATCTTGAAAATAATGCCGTGATCAGCTGTCCGCAGATTAAGTAAATCTGATCTATATATTTTCCCGGAAAATCGAGAAGACCCTGGTTTTTCGTGAATAGCAAGGTCCATGGTCCGAGTCCTGGTGGTGTGACTGATGTCCAAATTTGCAATTGCAATTTGTGTTAGCTCACAGTGGACATAGTTTGATGCGCTCCCCATGATGTCAAGTGAATGGCCAAGGGCCCTCTTGATTGGTGTGAGTTGCCAGTATGATGCAAGCCAGATATTGATTGATTGAAGAAGGATAGAATATCCGTCACTGTGGACAAGAGTCCTACTATAGGTCAGTTGGTTAGAGCATTGCTCAATGCTCATGAATAGCAAGGTCCCTGGTTTGAGTCCTGGTGGTGTGACTGATGAATTTTCTTTCTTTCATATCTGGCTGGCTAGTGTTGAGTTTCGGAGAGGAAAGAGCAGTAAGAGGCATATGGCCTCTAATTTCCTAATACTTTGAAATTCTCTGTGAAGTCTAAATTTGAAATTGCGATTTGTGTTTGCTCGCAGTGGACATAGTTTGATGCGCTCCCCATGATATCAAGTGAATGGCCGAGGGGTCTCTTGATTGGTGTGAGTTGCCAGTACTGAAAAAGCCATTATTCTAACGAGGCGCATATATGACGATTTCCCAAAATTGACTAGTTTACGTGTACCAAAGGTAACGATTCTCACTCATTCTCAACGCTCATTAGGACAGTATATGTATCGATTTCTGTATAACGATTTCTATTTTAACGACAGATGGTAGACCTACACGACCCACGCGCGCGGTTCACGATCTGAACCGGCACTTGGCTGGAGTCGAGGCGATGACATGTAGACGAACATCGGAACAAAACACGAGTACTCGTACTTCCTCCGTTAACAAAAACTTCGTGATCGAAATTTGAGGGGCTGATTTGGGCACAAACTGCCGTGAAATGAGTCACAATCACTTTCTTGGCCTTCCCTGGCATGCCATGACAGAGGTACGATGCAAGGAAAGCGACCTTTCACAACAAGTCGAGCGGAATCGATGGTTGCGCTGTGGAAACATAGGTGATGGCAGTCATGTCGAGCGAAACTGAAATGCCACTTCTTCGAGGGGATATTGCGCTGCTTGGTCTCTCTACCACTTTAGCACTGAGTACGTTGGAGAGTGATAAAACGGAGCAGCGAGCCCACACAATGAGCGAGTGAACAAGGAGCTGCTCCGATCGCACGGCTCCATGAAAATAATTCTGAACTAAAGTAACACGTTAGTCCTGGTTCAACCTGCGCAAAGCCCAGATTCGAATGCTGATGATGACCATGCATTCTTTCAGAAGTCTGCAGTCAGATGCGAGTCTCGTGGCTAAAGAAAGTCGACTGGACTTGCTAGCCGCTGCCGTTCAGTGCTGGTACATGGTGTCCATTAGAGAAAATGGAATCAGTTTAGCTGTGCCTTTACTCCTCGTTTCGCGGAGTTCTGGAGAGCGAAGATGAAACCAGGGAGTCGTAAAATATTTTTCACGACTCCCTGGTGGAAACGAGTTATCGCCATCACGGCGGATCACGCAGCTTGAAAGCAAACTTACTTGAACGGCGGCGACATCAAGAGGAGTGTGATCAAAGAAGCCGAGGCAAGGCTGAAACGAGCTCAACAACGACTCGAGAGAGAGAGATGACGACTCGCGTACAGCAGATGACGACTCGCGTACAGCAGATGACGACTCGCGTACAGCAGATGACGACTCGCGTGCAGCAGATGACGACAGCGACGCAGGTCAAAAATGAATCGAGCGAAAGCGACGCAAACTGAACTCTCTGCTCATTCCGCCAACAGTTTCTCTTGTAAAAGCGCTGTAGATAGGCTGAATCACCGTCGTCCAGTAATTTGCAGTCGATACAAACTGTTCTTGACCTGTTCTAAGCGTTTTCATATCCATCAAAATCCATCACGAAGTTTTTGTTAACGGAGGAAGTACTTATATATTTTTGCTCCTCGCTCTTCCTTTGACCACTTCGTAGTTTTCTTTTGTTTCGAGTTTGCACTGTTCCCATATCAGAAACTGTTTTCCGTCGTGCTCCCCGTTCGGTTGTTTGGGATTATTTTACAAAATCCGAGGATGAGAAGTCAGCTACCTGCAGGACTTCCCGCAGCGTATGTTTAGTAAGGCAAAACGGCGAGCAACCACTATGCGCACCTGAAAACACAACTACGGTAACTTTCAGAATTCTTCTGTAGTCTCTGGGAGTGCAGTTATTTCTACGGCATCAACGCTGAACAGGACGCAAGTTGTTGACAAACGTTGCTGTGACACAACGTTCTGGTCCTCAGCAGTAGCAGTAATCATGGTAATGACAGTATGGCGTTGCTCAGTTGGAGGCTTCCATTGTGCCTCAACTTTTGAAAGCATCATAAAAGACGTACTGTAAAGTTAGAAACTTTTGCAAGTGATTAAATTTCGCTACTTTCGTGGCCGTTGCGCATTCTGGAGAAGAAAATTGCCCCAAACAGCTCAGTACGTGCATTGTAGACAGCACAACTACAAGATTCAAAAGAGGTAAAAATCGCAAAGTTTTCTCATCACAAACCAGCCGCATTCATGAAAACGCAAAATATGTGCGCCACTAAAGTTTATTGCTATACTGAATTCGAAAATTCCACTATTTTCTTGCCTATGCCGGTTCGTGCGCGAGCATGAGCGTGCGAGGAGAATGTTTGAGAATGTTCGTGCATTCGTTCGTTAACATCAAGAACGTTCTAATACTCAAATTTTATGTTCGTTTCAGCCCTATTTTTAGCATGTCGGTGTCCATGATCCACTTCCCACCTCTCTTCCGGGGTGCAGCAACGCCCAGAGTGTTCCGCGCTCCTGTCATCACCGTTTGACGAATACCATTCCAGGGAGTTGATGGGCTATTAGTGTTGTCGAGCCGGTTGCTGGTGAGAGTGGATTCCAGCTCATCACAATACCTTCTTCGCATGGTTGGGCCCGAGAGGCAACCAACCAGTATTCTTTGGCTGGCACGCTGTTTCTTACCGCGCTCAACAGAGCTCCACACATGGCGTAGGCGAGAGAGATCGAGTCTTGCAACCGCTAGTCGGTGATCAGACTCCACCAGTGTACCAGAATATGACCGACTGTCCACAAGTAGCTGCCGTTGTCTATGAAGACAGAATATAATAATCTCTTTGATTGTAAATAGGGATCAACACACCATCTTGAGGTCCTCTTCTCCAGCCAGTCCATGTTGTTTGGTGTCGCGCTGGATGCTGAAAAGCAGTGTTGCAAGTGAAGAGATGATGTGCCTCGCAGAAGTCGGCTAGGACAGCTCCGCTAAAATTCCATTGCCCGCATCCGTAGTGTCCTATACACCGATACTGAGAACTCATTCCACCAAGCTTGGCGTTGAAGTCTCCGGAAATTAGAATAACTGAGGAGGAATGTACCTTGCTGAGAGCTGTGCCAAGCGATGAGTAGAAGTCCTCCAAACAGCCCTGGTCTTACGCGACTTTCGCTGAGGTCGGAGCGTAAGTGTTGATGATGGAGATAAAACACTTTTCTGATGAGCGAATCTGCAGAACTGCAACACGGTCTGACTCGCTCCAAACGCGATGCACCCGCTCCCAGAGCGAGCAATGAGTGCAGAACCCCAGGCCATTATGTCGAGAGTCTGAAGGGAGGCAGAATATTCGGTAGTCGCCAATAACATCGTCAAATCCATTTTGAATTTTCGTCTCTTGCAAGCTACAAATTTGAACGTCGTAGCGCTGGAAATCGGAAGCCAGCTGTTGCTTCTTTATGCCTGATGATAGGCTGCGAACGTTGAAGGTACTGACAGTTAGTTTAGACCATTGTCTATTTTGATATTACCTTCAGTCATGTTCCATTCATAATCACTGTGAGCAGACAAGTTTCAGGAACAATTAAATTGTTCCTATGATTGTGATGTGAGTGGGCACTTAGTTTAATTTTGTTTTTGTTTTTGGTGGCTTTTCCCCCTATGGGCACCATTCAAGCAATCTATAAGATGTATTACAACAGGTCAGAGTCAAAGTGTACAACGACATTGTCTTTTTGAGGAGCTGGAGTGCGCTTAGTACCTGCTGTACACCTACTGCTGAAGAATATGAGAAGAAAACATGCATGTTTTAGATGGATGTGTGGCTGCTCATCCGATCCCCCTGTAGAGAGCCCTCGACACTAAAGTTGCAGATGATTGGCACTTATCTGTGCTAGGGTTGTAAGATAAAGTAGTGGGCAGGTTCATCACAAAGAACCTCATATTCTCATGAGCTCTGGATCACAGCCGTGAGTCAGTTTCAAATTTTGCAAACACTGAGCCTAACATGGACACAGTCCTCAATAAAAAAGCAAAAAGAATAGCCAGCTCTGTTGTTCTATTTTCCCTTGATAACTATTTTCCTATTGATGCTGGCAGACGTTTATTTTTGTCAACTGGTGTTTGTTTGGTTGTTTGGTTGTTTATTTGGTTTGTGTGCATGTGTGTGTGTGTGTGTGTGTGTGTGTGTGTGTGTGTGTGTGTGTGTGTGTGTGTGTGTGTGTGTGTGTGTGTGTGTGTGTGTGTGTGTGTGTGTGTGTGTGTGTGTGTGTGTGTGTGTGTGTGTGTGTGTGTGTGTGTGTGTGTGTGTGTGTGTGTGTGTGTGTGTGTGTGTGTGTGTGTGTGTGTGTGTGTGTGTGTGTGTGTGTGTGTGTGTGTGTGTGTGTGTGTGTGTGTGTGTGTGTGTGTGTGTGTGTGTGTGTGTGTGTGTGTGTGTGTGTGTGTGTGTGTGTGTGTGTGTGTGTGTGTGTGTGTGTGTGTGTGTGTGTGTGTGTGTGTGTGTGTGTGTGTGTGTGTGTGTGTGTGTGTGTGTGTGTGTGTGTGTGTGTGTGTGTGTGTGTGTGTGTGTGTGTGTGTGTGTGTGTGTGTGTGTGTGTGTGTGTGTGTGTGTGTGTGTGTGTGTGTGTGTGTGTGTGTGTGTGTGTGTGTGTGTGTGTGTGTGTGTGTGTGTGTGTGTGTGTGTGTGTGTGTGTGTGTGTGTGTGTGTGTGTGTGTGTGTGTGTGTGTGTGTGTGTGTGTGTGTGTGTGTGTGTGTGTGTGTGTGTGTGTGTGTGTGTGTGTGTGTGTGTGTGTGTGTGTGTGTGTGTGTGTGTGTGTGTGTGTGTGTGTGTGTGTGTGTGTGTGTGTGTGTGTGTGTGTGTGTGTGTGTGTGTGTGTGTGTGTGTGTGTGTGTGTGTGTGTGTGTGTGTGTGTGTGTGTGTGTGTGTGTGTGTGTGTGTGTGTGTGTGTGTGTGTGTGTGTGTGTGTGTGTGTGTGTGTGTGTGTGTGTGTGTGTGTGTGTGTGTGTGTGTGTGTGTGTGTGTGTGTGTGTGTGTGTGTGTGTGTGTGTGTGTGTGTGTGTGTGTGTGTGTGTGTGTGTGTGTGTGTGTGTGTGTGTGTGTTGTCTAAATGAGTATGTTCTACTGTGATTTGTTGGTCATTTCCTCATCTGAAGGCGCCTCAGCAACAACAACATGAGGATGATTGACCCAAATGCTTTCCGAGCAGACCGAACGGATCATCTGGTATTAGAAATGAGTGCCTTGTGAGTAAAGTGTTTTTGCATGCTAATCAATTTACAACAATCACTTAAGTAGCGTGCTCCACTGCTTGAAGAGTGCTCAAATGTTCACCACACAGTCTGCACACCAATATCTACTGCCTGCTTCCCTGAAACTGTAGACCAAGTTCTGTGGCAAATGCATGTACCACGGATGAACGTGTACTCTGATTTATTCCGAGTAAGATTATTTGTGAAATGGAGCAAGCACTCGAATATCCGGTATAGCTGTTTCAACCCCAGGTTTTAAAAGTTGGGATCATCAGGCAACTGATTGCCTCAAAACGGGTAGCCTGAACATCAAGATAAAGTGAAGCAAACGCCCCTTTTTTATTAGTGAAACAGAAGGGTTGCTTTTGAATAGCAAATCCAGCTCATCACAATGCGGAGGGACTTAACAGGCGGTCTCTGGACACCGGACATTGTAGTAGTTTTAGCTATTTATTAAATAAAATAATTATACTTTATTAACTTGAATCGGAACTTCCGGTTTTCATCTTTGATTTACTACCTTATATGTGCGTATAAGGGGGTTAAGCCTTTTACTATCCGTGTGTACTTGAATCGATCTCTAGAGATCGATGGGCATGCATACACTAAAACATTCGCAACCCGATGAATTCTTCCTGTCTCACCTCACACCCCATTGCCTGTATCAATGTCCGCTCACTTAGGAAGAAATGTGCCGCACTGGTGGATTTTTGTGCCACTCATTCACCATCTATACTTTGCCTTCCAGAGACTTGGCTGTCTCCGAACATTCCTCTTGCTGTCCCTGGCTACTCCATTTTCAGACGTGATCGTCCAGCAGAGGATAGTCGAGTAGTTGCGACTGACGCCCGGGCATATGGAGGCGTTGCCATTCTTGCTAAATCAGGGATGTTTACTTCGCTACACCACCGTACTGACCTCCATATTCCAGGTTTTGAAGCTACGTGGGTGGAAGCAAGGGTTTCACAGGGCTCGTCCTCCAACTGTCTGATTGTTGGTGCTGTTTACCGCCCTACAAACAATTGCTCTGCACAGGTGGACTCTTTCATGACTTCCCTCCAACAATGTTTGTCACTGATTCGAACACTGTCCAGTTCCATCCTTGTCATGGGTGATTTCAATGCGAAGTCTGCCGCTTGGTATGGTTCTGCTACCGACAATCTGGGCCATCAACTTTCATGTGTTCTTAATATCATACCTGCCAAGTACTGAGAGTGCTTTTTCTGGATCGCCATGGCAAAATCCCGGGAGTTGCCTTGGTTTTTCGTGGTGTCCTCTCTTTTCCAAAGGAATCCTTTTTTAAACTTTTGATGGCACCAACATACTGTAGAAAGGGTAATTTTAGCGACGAAAAACCCTAGCGAATTTAGCGCTTGATCATTTTCGCTAAAGTTTCAAGTCGCTAATCCGTTGAGACATTAGTAGTGTACTGGTGATCCGTGAGTAAAATCGCTGCAAATCGCTAAAATAAAACCTCGCTAACCGGTTGACAATGGGGAAACGTTAAAATTAATAGTCGCTAAAATTACCCGTTCTACATTATCGAAAATAGATGACTGATGGTGATCATCGGATCACACTTACGCATGTTCAAGACTCAAAACGGAGGTTTTAAAGGGACTGTTCACGGAAGAAGCACTAGTACTGTAGTAGATCCACTGGTACTGGAGGCTATGGTGGTCCGGAATCAATAAGGACAACTACTGGCCTGTGACAAGTCATTTGAAGTGCTCCAAGTACAATATGAAGCTTGTTTCTTGTACAGTGAATTTCGGGATAATCGACAGGAATTTTGGGATCGCGGTAGTTCATCCAAAATTGCGGGATGATCCCGAAAAAAATCTGGATACTTGGCAGGTATGGAATGTATGTATGCCCTAACACAACACGTGAAGTTCGCAACCCATGATGCATTGGGCTCTGCTGGCACTGCTCCAGATTTGATCATAAGCGATCGACCTGACAATGTATTCTCCCTCTGCACCGAGGCCCCGCTTGGGTAGTGTGACCATTGTTTCGTCCTTGGTAGATTGACCCTCCCCCGGTCTCTTGTATCACCGATATCCACGCCCTCTTGAACTCCAAGTAGTGCCTCAACACCCATCCCGAACTTTCGCCAATTTGACCTCTCCCGACTGACCTCGGATTCTGCTTCGGATGTCCAAGCTGCTATTGCCAATGTTGACTGGCCTCTGGTTCTGCGTGTCCAAAATCAAAATGTGGATACTACCCTGATAGCTTTCTACCACGCTTTATTTAATGTATTCTTGCCAGCGAAAGTCCAATCATCACGTCCAGGCCACAACAAAGTTAATGTGGCTCGCACCTATGTCATAGTCTAGTTAATTTCTGACCAAAGAGAGGCTGAATCAAGGGAAAAATGTATGAAGAATGAAAAAATATGTTTGAGGAATGCAAATCTCAAAGAAAAAAAGGGTGTCACCGAACTCACTTTTCTGAAAATCACAACCTCAACAAGTTATAGAAAGGAAGAGGACATTATGTTAGTTTATTTTTTTGCGATTTTCATCAGGTATTGGTCTCTAACTCCACAAGAACAATCATACCTGGCCTTTTTCACTTCCCACATCATAAAGGGGTCTACTATGAACGTTTTGCACTTTATTTGAATCAAATTGAGCCACAATGAAGGGTTTTAGGGCTAATTTAGCAGATAAGGAACCAACAGTCTAAGTGATCAAAACAGAGGGTCAGGTGCCCAAAGTGATAATTCTCATGTTCCAATTACCAAACCGTGTGGAGAATAACCTCCAAAAAAGAAAACACAGAAGAAAAACGGGTGGCCGACTTAATTTTGGCTACAACTGATATTTCCACCGGAAATAGAGACTTTTAGACAAATTTTGCATATTTGATGGGGTGCAGCAGGTATTGTTAGAGGAATGGCAGAATGTTACAAGTCAAGGATAATACTAAGGCATTGTTCTTCTGGTTTACTAGCAAAACCATTATCTAGCTACGACAAGGTTGAGCATCATTCAATTGTTTGCTCACGTGCTACCGCTATTTGCGACAAACAATACACGCGGTAGGCTTTCCATATGAGCAGCAGGTAGAGGTCAGCATTGCCAGGTTGAGTCATTGTCAATAGCTGCCTTGTAACAGCAGGGATGGCACAGCACACCTCAGAGTCGCAACACGAAATGCCTGCAAGGAAACAGCACACACGCAATTAGAATTTGAGGAGTGTACGCTACTCAGGCACATTCCCAAAACAAGTATAGGATGTGAGACTAAACAGCAATAAGTTCTTGGCCGTGACTGCTTTGTGTGCTACATGACTGTTAAAATTTCAGAGTGCTTGAATCTGCTGCGCAAGTATCAATAATGTCCACGGTACAGTTATGGCACGTAGCAGTGTCATTCGCCTTTTCTCCGTGTGTTCGCACTTAGCACGTCTGTTACCTCTAAGCACGGGATCGCGCTTCTTCATATCATTCTATGTATATAACTCTGCTTTCAAATTCATTCTAGAAGTTCATTATTCTCAACCTTCACTGGAACAACAGCAGCACTGTGTAGAGGAACTTATATTTTTCCATACAGCATCTACAACCTGGAGTTATGTTACAGCTGGGGTGATGTTACAGCTGGGGTGATGGTACAGCTGGGGTGATGTTACAGCTGGGGTGATGTTACAGCTGGGGTGATGAGGTTGGCCATCTGGTGGAAGTCCTTCACCGTTTTCTCGTACTACTATTCCCTCTATTTGCTTTGCAGAGACAGAGACAGAAATTGATTTTCACTATAATCCTCATTTCATCATGGGACATTATCAAATGTATAACACACGAACATGTTAGGAAATATCATGAATTTGAAGTGTTTATATTTCATGAAAATCACACCAAATCAAATACTCAGCCCTGTACCACATGCTCACTTGCAAGTTGCAACAAGTGCAATACCACAACAGAGCACTGGGAATATGTTGTCCAAAATCAGCTCCTCACGATGCAGATAGTGCAACCTAGTACATGGTATTTCTAGTCTCAACAATTCTTGAAATCAGGAAGAACACAAAATGATGTGCACTTGCCATCAAAATTCTGCAGGCGACGATGAGAGACTGTAGCTAGTTCGCGTTGCGTACCTCTGCTCATTCCTTAGAAATCGAAGTGGCGTCCTCTCCTTCCGCAGAGATCACGTCACGTCCAAATTATTACCGTATGTCCGAACCCTTAAAGCCATGGCGGTATATTCGATTATAAAGCCAGTCTCAGTTATAAAGCCATAGGCTCCATAAATGAAAAGACATTTGAAGTATGTTTTGTAAAAATGAAGGAATATTATAAAGTACTATACTAACAAACTTACAGCCCAGCAGGAAGGGTGAACAAGTAGAGTTAGATTGAAATTTCTGTGTGGACTTTGACTTTTATCAAGTTTTATGCCATGGCGTAGTGGGTGAGTAATTTTGCATCTAAAATATCTAGGAAAGCAGCGGTGTTTCGAATATAAGGCCATGGCTTTAAAGACGCTGACATACGGTATGTAGAAGCTTTATCGCTCAATCTCCTAAGAGCTAGCAGCTAGAAACTATCACCATCGCTTTCTGCAACATTTTTCTTTCCATCTAAAGCAAGGCGATTCATTTTTCTCGCAGAGCAAACGCTTCCCTTTTCCTGTTTCATCTTTCCATGTTAGAAGGATGCAACCTTAGACTCCTCCACGGACAGAATGACAGTGAAGTGGTCAGCACCACACAATCACTGATCAACAAGAAAGGAAATACTAAAAAAAGAAACTACTTCTTCGTTGGCGATCTCACCACGATTTTTCAACACAAAAGTCGGGTGACCCAAAAATATTACTTCAGTGCAGCCACGAGTGCAGTCGCGGTTGCGCGCGAGTCGTAAAATGTCAACGTCCATGCGGCTTCAGAGCACAAGTGAGACTCTTACAACCTGTACAAGAAGTACCCCAGTCCTGACAATCTCACCCATTACAACTCTGAGCGGAACAAGGACCGGAATATGTCTCGCAAAGCCCATTGTGAGTTTATCTCCTCATTGACGTCCCTCAGCTCAGCCCATGGCAACCTTCCAGCACCCAACCTTTTTCAGTTTTTCCGTCAGGCACGATCAGGTACTACTGCCTCTTCGGATGGTAATGGCGTGGCCCAGCTCTGTGAGGAGAATACTGTTCATACGGATTCGATTACCATTGCTGACGCGCTAAATACGCAGTTCGTAAACTTCGGGACCAAAGACGATCCTTCTTGGTCTATGCCTGACTTCCCCCAACACCACATACCGCCACTTACCTCTGCTTCCACAACCCCCTCCCGCATCAAGAAATATATTAGTCAATTAAAGCTGAAGAAGGCCACAGGCGTTGATGGCATTAGTCATGAGCTTCTTCAACTTCTTTCTCCAGCAATCGCGTGCCCCTTAGTCTCCTTTTCAACATGACATTTTCATCCCTTTGGTGAACAGTCTTTGATCATGTCTATCCTCATGTGAACCCTCTCCTCAGTCCTTCCCAGTCCGGTTTTCGTCGTAGGGACTCCACGTCTTGGCAGCTGTTGCGTTTGGTACAGGCCTTACATCAATCCAAGGACACTGTACAATTTAGTTTGCTCTGCTTCTTTGATCTTAACAAGGCCTTTGACTCGGTATGGACTAGAGGTCTACTCTGTAAGCTAAGAGCATTCGGGCTTTCTGGCAACGTTTACAATTGGCTCACTACCTACTTGATTGGCCGCAGCCAGTTTGTTCTTTTCAGGGGACATCTGTCTCGCCCAGCCACAGTAGAGTCTGGTGTTCCCCAAGGTTCTGTATTAGGTCCTCTGCTTTTCATCATTTATGTAAACGATCTGGCCTCCCTTCCACATACCTACCTCTGCACAGATGATACAGCATTGCATGTTTTCTCCTCTTCACTTTCAGCTGCACCTGTGACATTGCAGACCCACATCAACAAAGTTGTCAATCGGATGACGCTCTGGAAACTGAAGCCAAACGCATCTAAAACCGCTATTCTTTGCTTTCCTCCTCGTCCCAATAGTGACTTGTCTGTATTAAGTCCCTCGCCTTTCACGTTCCCTGATGACTGTTACTGTATCTCAATAGTTGATCAGCACAAACAACTAGGGATTGTCCTGGATCAGCATCTGTCCTTTGATCTCCACATTACGTACCTGGGGAAACGTGCAAGTTCTATTGTTTGCTTCCTCTCCTCTCACTTATCTCATTTCCCCTGTGATTGCCATTTAATGCTGTAAAAATGCTATGTTCTGCCTGTATTTGACTACTGTTCCTCCATTTGTGCTGGCATCAGCACATCGCTCATGAATCGTCTCGAAGTCACACATCGTCGCTTAATTCGCGCAGTCTTTGCTATTCCCCGTTTGACGCCCTCTCATACTGTCTATGCTATCGCATCCGGCTGCCCTCTCTCTAACAGGCTCAGACTTTCATCATGTAAACTAATTCATAAAATTCGTCTTGGTCTTGCCCCACCTCATGCTTTATCCCAGCTTAGCTGGTTTCATCAGTCCTCAGCAGCTACCCGAAACTCTCTCTGCTTCCGTATCTCTTCTGAAGTCCCCTCTATTTTTGGCATATACTCATTGGTCGGTGCTGTCACAGGACCTCAAGACTTGCATGCCAAAGACTTTCCACTTTTTCTACTTTACTTCGCTAAGTATTCACTTGTTCTGGGCCACTGTGTATTTCGTATCTCTTGAGTTATCTTTCTTTTGAATTCTCTTCTTTCTTTCTTCTTTCTTATACTTGTGTGTCTACTACTTTTCTTTTGTTGATTTGGCCGTGGTTGGCTATCGCCCCTCTCTCATTCAATATTGGCATCGTTTGCCACGAGATGATGAAGTGTTTCAGGGACAGCAATTTTAATACGGCAACCAAAAGTACTAACTGTGCGGTAACCATGCTTTTTTACAATAATAACAAACATGCGGGAAAAAAAACAAGCGAGAGAATTGTGAATGAGAAAAGTACGAGTAAAAAAGAGAAAAGAAGAGTTCAGAATGGTTTTCTCGTTAGGATCTTCAGTGAGCGTACGTAACTATGGATGGAATACTAAATCAAACACTTTTACGAAAAACAGAAAGAGGTGCGAAAACGAAAGAGAGAAGCAGAACAATGTCACAGTGCAGTTAGTACTGTTGATTGCCATATTAAATTTTATACTGTTGATAGTCTGGTCACTAATGAGTGTGGGTATTTATGAAAGGTCGTTATTGGGGAATATAAGCAATGTCTTTAAAAACACTGCCTATGAACACCTCGGCTACACCTAGTGTTTAAGCTGTGTTTATATTCCCTTATAAACTAGGGGTTCAGTGTTTTTTTCTATACTGATTGGGACCTTCCTCCTCCCTTGAACCATATTATTTGTCTATGCATATGGAATGTATGAACTGTACCACAAACATGGTGCTGATTGCATGCCCTATATTTATTTATAGTGGGTAACATTTCATCATCTACCCTGTAGCATGTAGGGAACACAACCCTTGGGCAACCATCCACGACCTTGGGCAACGCACTAGGGCCTAAGTCAGCCATCATGCCGTCCGTATCAGGTGTCATTGTTTATGTTTGGCCGAATATCTTCTCTATTGTTACTGCAGGTACCTCGACCACAACAAGCTCACTTCCTTACCTCCCCACATGTTCGACGACGCTGATCACGCCATGAACAAATTGTAAGAATACAAAAGACAGGCGTCAGGCGAAATTACTGGTCAGTCGGCGACACGCATTTTTCACAACAATTTGCGTTTCACCTGCTGGGAGAGTATGCGTGTACTCGAGTCTCATCCTGAGCACGTTTTTTTCTTCTTGTTTTCAGCTCCAGTATAGCTGTATTTTTCATTGCAAAGCCGTCCTCGATTGTTGTGTTCTTTGTTCAAACGAAGTGGACATTCAATCATGAAGGCAGAGGACATAGGAGCCTGATTGGAGTTTCTCGTGGCATAGGACGGCCACACAGAGACACTTTGGGATTTTCTGAATATAAAATACCGTACGCACGATGCTGAGATCAATTTGTGCGATATCAAATTGTTTGTGATCTACCACATCGAGCAAAACGGGATCCAAACACAAGCTTACCGACGGTTAGGCTGCCGACCTGACTGGACAAATAATCCCTGGCTTCAACAGACGCCAGAAGTCGGACACCATGTCCTTTGCCGCGACGTCCATCTCCAAAAAGAACTCCATCTTCGTCATGAAAAGGCTTGAAATACTCAATATTCAACCGAGATTCGCGGTCTCACCCTTTCTCAGATAGAATCATTTTTTTGTTGTAGCAGTTGCAGGGCAGATCCCCGCCACTACTTCAACAGGCGATAGCTCCAAAGCATGCCTGGAACAAGCCATATCAAGGTTGCAAGCCACCCCTCTCAGCAAAAAAATCGAAGAAATTCGAAATTTCAATGGTGGAAGATATACTATGAAGAGAATTTCAAAAAGTATGTTTCGCGGAGCGATCGCTCAATCTACGTCATTCAAACTTTGCAGGATGGTTCAGACGTACATGCTAGGCATGGAACCACAGGCGATGATGCCATAGCTGACACACAGAGTAACACACACAGCAGATTCGTGTGCACAGATACTAAATTAGTGGACGTCGTCATCTTCTTTCCGCTGATCTCGAATGTATTATGACGTGCTATTTCGCCTGACGTGAAACCGGTGCTATTTGATGAAGAAAGCCGAGCGTCGCAGCCTGCGCTTCCTGCCGACTGACTTGACACTTGACTGACAAACAACTGCCTCGGAGCACAAGAGAAGCTTGTCGAACCTTCCACTCGTCAAACCTGCAAGAAAGCAACGATTCCTCCTCCATACACAGTGTTTCAGAGAATTCACCCCTCGTCAGTTTTTGCTTGAGTAGGCTAGTGAAATTTCTGCTCCGGGAGTATTGCATTATGTAGCACTCACTGAGCCGCGTGAATCAGTGTCGCACATGGAGTTGGGAGAATAGATGCTGAGGGTCATTTGCCATTTGCAGCGCTGTCCCCTCTAACCATCTAGTCGCATTCCCGAGCGAGGGACAACAATATGTTGCGACATCGGCAGTAATTGTGAGTCAGATCAGTGGAAAGTCAGTTGGCAGGAAGCGTGAGCTCCAAAATTCGGAGCAGAAACTTTCTTCATAAATTGTGAGCAGTACTAGGTATCAGTTGGGGAAGTGAACTGCCTGAAAAAAAGAAAAAAAAATGCCAGACCTGCCAGGTCTCGATGCTGGGACCTTGCTCTTCATGGGCAATGCTCTAACAATTAACAATTGAGCTAAGAGACCAGGCTTAAAGGGGAAGTAAAGGCAAAAATTAAAATTTCACCAGTTGTAGTCTTCGGGGTGCTGAGTCGAATGGTCTTGGTCGGAGAAAGCTGAGACACTCCCTTCCTACTTGAATCCCAATCGAACTCGCGCACGTCCACCGAAACTGGGTGACTGCGCCCTACTAGATGGGGATTTGTATGCAAAATGTCACTAAAAGCGCCATTTCGTTCTTATAAAAGCACGGATGACCGCGATTGACCCATATGTTGTAGTCTTTTGGACGCTGAGTCGACTGGTTTTGGTCCGAAAAGGCTGCGATGCAGCGTTCCTCCTTTATTCCCAATCGAACATGGTTGAACAAGTGGTCACGTGCTCCTGCGTACACCAGTCAGCTGGTCACCGTGCCTGCAGGGTTCAACTTACTAGCCTGTTTGACCTTTTTTGGGTGCAGTCCTGTCACTCGAGTTGAACTCGAGTTGAACCTTGGTGTGAAAGTTGTCGCCTGCTGGCGTGGTGATCAGGTAATTTGGGCACCCAGGAGCACGTGACCGCTTGTTCAACCATGTTCGATTGGGAATAAAGGAGGAACGCTGCATCGCAGCCTTTTCGGACCAAAACCAGTCGACTCAGAGTCCAAAAGAGTACAACATATGGGCCAATCGCGGTCATCCGTGCTTTTATAAGAACGAAATGGCGTTTTTAGTGACATTTTGCATACAAATCCCCATCTAGTAGGGCGCAGTCACCCAGTTTCGGTGGAAGTGTGTGAGTTCGATTGGGATTCAAGTAGGAAGGGAGCGTCTCAGCTTCCTCGAACCACGACCATTTGACTCAGCACCCCGAAGACTACAACTGGTGAAATTTTAATTTTTGCCTTAACTTCCCCTTTAACCTAGACGCTGCTGACAAGTTTTTCACTCCAAAGGCAGCTCACAACACATGCAACACATACCACCAAGAGTACGTAACCCCCAAGAGTGTGCAACTCCAGCTATGGGGTCTGCGGCGGCAGAACTTCACATCACGTGATGAACCCGTACACATTATTTGCACTCTGTGCATGATTGATACAGGGTTGTACGCAACCCAGCTTTGGCTACAACTCTCTTGTGGTCACTTTGCACTGTTTGCCAGTGTAACCTTTTGAACCATGTCACGTGATGTGAAGTTCTGCCGTCGAAGCACTGCATAGAGGTTGTGCAGGCAGCTGCACACTCTTGGGGGTTATGTACTCTTGATACCACACATACTGATTGCACTTCGGGCTTTTTTAGGCATGTACCGTAAAGTCCGGAGCAAACGCCCACCCCATTTTTGCAAGATCTGCTGGCCTGTACACACTGACCCCATGCACTGTCACCCCTACTGTACGAAAGTGCATCTCACATCGTAGCGGGAAGAGCACTTTGCTACGGTAAACTATGTCCACTTTCCTGGTTTCAAAATCTCCTTGTGCACTAGCGCTATAGCTACGAGCTAGCTAGCTCGTAGTGATTTTATAATGATGGTTGTTTTATTTCGCAAATCCGAACGGGCTTTCTTCCGAATAACAAGGTAGCAAAGAACAGAGTATTGAAGGAACCAAATACACTTCTGACAGTGTTTCAAGCCATCATTTCGAGATCACACAGCGCCCAAAGGTAGGCACCGGCGGATAATGCTAGTTAAATGTGGAAATTGTGCTACTAGCACTGCTAGTTATTTGGAGCGATTGAGCTAGTTATGATGCTAGCAGTGCTGATAGTGCTACAAAATGGCAATACTTGCGGTGGGAAATAATGACTTCCCTCTGCAGTCACTTGGAGTATGGCAGTATCGCAGGGCAAACAGAGTGAAAGAATGCTTACTTTTTCATTACATTGGTACAGAGGGCTGCCAGCGTCCCAGTGAGCACCAGTGTGTCTCTCTGCGCTACTTTTCACTGTGGTGCCAACAGATTGGACGGTGTGCTACTTTCACACATCGATTGTGCTAGACAAGGTCACATTTGGAGACTTTATGCTAGGGCAGTGCCGGTCTTCCCACATGGGTCATTATGCTATTTATTCTGCTAGCGTTATCCGCCGGTGCCTACCCAAAGGCAAATGTTTTTCTTGGGCACTTCGGAGTTTTCAACAAATTAGCAGCGACGTTGTAGGTGTAGCTTCTGTGACATACCCTGTTCGACTTGCAACTGCATTATTGGGACCAGTCAAGCCGTTGACTGACGCTTTATCAGAACAATAATTATTATTGTTCCTGACAGCGCGACATCGTGGCACTGCACAAATTTCTGCGGCATTACTCGTACCACATGGAGAACGAACTATCACAAAGACGATACATTTATTGAATGAAAGGAAATCTCGACAGAAGTTATTTCATTTTAATGACAACCGCTTTTGCACAGCCTCCTGGTAGGACATTTTGTAGGCGTTACAGTCGTTCTCGTACGCATTCGACCTTCATGCCAGTTGTTTACAATTATATTATGATCAATATTTGACTCGACTTTTGTCAAAGCTGTCTATGTAAATGAGTTAATGGAGACCATTAGCAAACCGTCGGGAGCGACGATTGGGACAAACTTGGAACGAGGCCGGCGTGCGGGAAACTCGAATCGTTTCATGCGCACGATTGGAGCAGCCCCAACAGGTGATCACGAAACGATCACGATTCCGGTTGATGTATGGAATCACAGCCCACTGCGGGCAACGGGAAGGGCTGTGATGAAGGCTGATCAAACACGAGTAGGAGTGTTTTGATTACATGTCTGACATGCACCCACGCTTGACACTCATATCAAACTTGTAAATGCTTCGCGAAGGACTGTGATTGGCTAATAGAACATGAACACGACTGTTTTGATTGGATTTCTGACATGAACACGCACTTTGATCTTCCTATCGCGCTTGAAACTTTGAAAGCACGACTCAACCACTGTCCCGAGTAAAAATGCGATTGGTCATCTCCGTGCCCACAGTATTGTGACATGTCAGAAGGACGCATCAACGACAGTTTGCTAGTGGTCTCTATTGACGATATTTTCCACTGATGATTGTCGCAAGAAAATCTTCGTCATGAAAATATGACATGTGTACATGACCTCATTGTCCCTTTGTGGCTGTTGGTTGAGAGCTTACTAATGGATGCGCAGTCAGCAACATGTATCTCTAGACAAAGTTGTTGTCTCCACGTCGACTTTTCAGACACATGTATGTCTTCATTTATTTGAATATGCGTGTCTGCAGAGACGCCTCATGTAGACTTTTCAGACACATGTATGTCTGCATTTATTTGAATATGCGTGTCTGCAGAGACGCCTCATGTAGACTTTTCAGACACATGTATGTCTGCATTTATTTGAATATGCGTGTCTGCAGAGACGCCTCATGTAGACTTTTCAGACACATGTATGTCTGCATTTATTTTGATATGCGTGTCTGCAGAGACGTCTCATACAACATGATCAGCAACATCAGGGGAGATGAGATACCCAGCATTAGGTATTTGGGCATACGTAACGTGTGAGTTTGGGCGTTGAGATTACAGAATATTGACCCAGTTTGACTGCTTATCCCCTACTATTACGAGATCCTAGATGACGCCCAGGCTCTGAGCCCAGACATTTACGGAATGACTGTGCGTACACCGCGTATGTAATTTTTTTAAATGCTCAAATTTAAATAAGCACAGCTCCGTCAATTCCTACTCATAATCGAAATATGTAGATTGAAGAGAAAGCTCTCTGGTTTCGATTGCAATAATCGCTGAAGACATACGATCAACGATCATGGAGTTTTGGCTCTCGAAGGATATGCAAGTGCAAAACGCTCTCAAAGACTTTTTTGAGCAGTTGATTTTCTTCTTTCTGTTTTTTTGCCACTTGGTGGCTTGGCAACTTCAGTGCTAATCCAGCAGTAGACTCGTGGGCATGCTCTTCTTCCGCAACTGTTTGACGGCGTCGTGGACGACGTCGGCGTTTCGTGAATGTTTGATGATCCTTCCGCCTCACCTTACCTTAACAGACTCTCTCTCCCTCTCTCCCTAAACAACTTTTTCGTAAGCGCACTTTACAGCATTGACACTCTTGCAAAGACCTGACCTTGACGCTATAATGTTTCTTCTGCTTTTCTCTTCTTTTTTGTTACTCAATTTTCCCATCCCACGTATTTCATCACTCAAGCGAAAACAGGAAACCCCCTCGGCAGGCGAACTGCCTTTGGTGAATCCTTAAACACAATACAATACAATACAATACGGAAACAGTCAGAACGGCAAGGACAGTGGCTGGTGTGCAGTGCTCATTGCTGAAGTTGCTAGTTTCGCTAAATTCGGAGGAGACGCTTGAGCTACTCCAGCACCATTTCCGACCACCTAGGAGGTTGACCAGTCCATTTTTTTTTTACTGAATGCCACAGTACCATCAGATGCTGCACAGCGGGGGCGGTGACATATTGGATGGAAGTGGGGGCGGGGCAAAAGTAACTCCTCCGACCTAAGGTGTCGGAATCATCGTTACTCCTGTGCGCCCATACATAGGAGAAAAGAAACATGTGCATCCAAGAGGGGAGCACCGGCTTAAACGCGGCTTTGCAAACGATAATGGGGAGAATTTGAGATTGGGATAGGACAAAACAATAGTAAAAGCAGTGCACCGTATGAAGATTGAGTGAACTGATAATCGGATTTTAAGGCTGAGCGAAGGGGATCAAAGAGGGGTAGGAGGGAGCTGGAGTGCGGTCAGTATAATTAGGCTGGTGTGTTGGCAGAAATCATAGCCTGTCTGTGGCCCACTCCCACTTGCTGCGCCGCAAGTGGTCGTGTTACATGGTATCATTTCTTAGCGATGAAAGTAGGTATTATGATCACACCAGAGCAGTTCAGGACAAGACAAAAGGGGAACTGTTGACTTCAAGATCAAAGCTAGAAAGCCGAACTAGAATGACATGGAAGCTCAGCAGCACAACGGAAATGCATGCGCGGTTGATACAAACTTAGAGTAGAGGAGTAGAAAGATAATGATCTATCACGTGAGGTAGCTCACTAGTACGCATATCACATCCCTCCACCATTAGATGAGGAACACTTAAAGCACTAGTATGAGAAATGAGTTCACTTTAATGTGTTGCTGATACGAGAAGCAAGTTCAATGCAACACACTAAGGAACTGCAAATATCAACAGAGAGCTGAACGCAAAACCCAGCAGGTCTGCAGTTACAAGTTCAAAAGATCAGGGGACTTCCTTGAGCGTGTAGACCTGCGCAGATTAGAGCTAGGAGAATTAACAGAGATAGCAGAAGACTGAGTAGAAGATTCAGCAGAGGATGCAGCAGATGCAGAAGAGGATAATGATGTTGATTTCACACTCTGGCGGCAGGCCTCTGGCTGTGACGTCGGGTGTGGTGATTCGGCATCTGCATGTGACGGCGGCTGTGCACTTGCCAAAGTTAAAGTTGATGATGGTGATGACCGGTCGGATATGCCTGCACTCTCGGGTAGCATTTCTCCTCCCTCGGACGGAAGACGGCGTCTAATGTGATCAGCATTGCGCTTCCAAATGTGACCATCATCCAGACGTACAGTGAACGTGGCTGGACCAAGACATTCTTCCAGCACACCAGGCATCCATTTAGGTGTAGCTGTGAAGTTAATCACCCCAACAGCATCACCACAACAGAGATTCGACGTCCGAGCTGTGCGACGGTGAACAGCGGCACCTTGCCTGTTCAAGACATGTGCTGAAGTATCTGGAAACGTCAGGTCAAGAAGAGAACGTGGCATGCGGTTCATAAGCAGCTGAAATGGTGACTGGCCTGTTGTTGACTGAGGCGTTAAGCGTGAATGAAACAGAAAGTGGTGTAACCATGATGCTAGGTCTCCACCAGCACCTGACAATTTCTTCAAGCCGGGTTTGACTGCTTGAACTGCCCGCTCAGCAAGAGTGAAACCATGGTATGTTTGATACCGTTACTTGAGCAGAATTGTTGAAATTTCGAGCTGGTGAACACTGAGCCATTATCCGAGACAAGCTGTTGCGGAAGACCATAACGAAACACTAACGAAGCTTACCAATGGTAGCTGTCGATGTAGCAGATGGAACGGCGTGCATGCCGATGTACATGCTGTGGCTGTCGACGATCACAAGTAGCATCTTGCCTTCCACAGGGCCTGCATAATCAATGTGCCGTCGGGTCCAGGGTTTGCCTGGCCACTCCCAGGGATGCAATGGATGTAATGCTGGAGACTTCTGGGTTGCTTGACATGGCTCACAGCTGCGGACCTTGAGTTCAATTTTGGCATCGATCGATGGCCACCAGACATAGCTGCGGGCGAGCGACTTCATTCTGGTTATGCCGGGATGGCTGAAATGTAACTCTTCCAGTAACTTTTCCCGGCCTTGGGGCGGAACGACAACGCGATACCCAAACAGTATGCACCCATCGATGATGGAGAGTTCACTTCGACAACGGTAGTACGCTTGGTTATCACTGTATGGCCCAGAATCTGCGAAAACCAGGCTTAGGGTGAAAATCATTTTTTTGAGAAAAATGATGTTTTGTAAAAAGGTTGTGTCGGGTGGACGATCGAGCGCAGTGAAGTGGAACCAAAGAGAATCTCGCTTGTTTGAAGAAGTAGCAGTCATGGCAGGAAGGGTTTCAGTAGTCAGGGAAGTCAAAGGGCTTCCGGTAGAGTATTCCCTGCTACTCCTCTAGTCACAACGAAGAGGTTTTGAGCTGATCGAACGGATTCCATTTCCTACCCTCAGGGATGGCGAAATTTCTGCGCTAGCTGCTGCTTGCGGAATATGGTGAAGAAATCGTCTCCAGTTAGAGTCGTGATGGCGATAGCGAGGAGAACCTGGACGACATCGATCCAGCCAATCGAAGTACAGAGATACTAGCTGTTTCTGGGCGTCACGCAAAGGGAATGCGCGCAGCGGAGCTCATACGTTTGCAGCAAATTCACGAGGAAAATGGCTTGAAGCGCAGTGTGAAAACGGTTTTGAATTGAAGTCCTTGGCGATGAAGTGCTACTGAATGCCAGGCGAATGAGCGAGCAGATCGAGAGGCTAGGCCCCCACTCGAGACTTTCCTCGCTGGACAGCTAGCTGCAAGGGATCGTACGGCGTGCTGATATTTCACTTGCTGGTCAGCACCAAGCAGATACTGCAGCACGCCAGCACACTATGCGCTTACTATGAACAGTGGAACAGGTTGAAAGGCTGTGTTCTTGCTTGTTTCTGAACAGTTGTACTAGATTCACCTTTCAAAAGGTGCCATCTCAACTGGAGTTGGGTTTCCTTGTGGTGTGTAGCGCCAGAGCATGCCAGTACATGTATTCAGCCCCAGAATGTGCTGAGTGAGGAGCAAACAAAATTCATGCAGAACTGTGCATGGCCACTACAGCCTGCAGCACCAAGGGGCCACAACAAGCCTGCCCCCACATGCCTACCTTGTCATGTCACCTAAACAAAAATCATCCATGTCTCTTCCTTCAGTATGGTGGATCTCTCTTCATTTCTTTCCTGTGATAACAATTTTGTGTTTTTTTGGATTTTTTAACACAATACCCTGGTGTGTTTTAGATGCTTTTAATACCACTATGAGTCGACCCACACCTGTAATATTTTGTTTCCTGACCCCCTATGCCCAGTAGAAGCTGAAAATGGGAAAAAGTCATTTTGTGAAATTTCACCCTAAGCCTGGTTTTCGCAGATTCTGGGCCGTATGGTGTTTGTATGGTGTCTGTATGGTTCGGCTGAAGAGCGCGTGGTTGTGATGAGTTGGGAATGCAATGATTTGAAAATATGGCCGAAAGCGGCTCTGTCGCAATATTTAGTTCTGAAATTTTAATGCGCCGTTAGTGGCAGAGCAGAGTGGACACGACGAGTCGGTGAAGACAGAAGGAGAGATGACAAGACGAGTCGGTGAAAAAGGAAGGACAAAAGCAAGACACATCTGCAACATCTTTGTTTGATCAAACTGAGCTGAGCTGCTGATACGAAGCATCGACCAAGCAGCCCTGACTGGAGTGAATGCTCCAGCTGGCCTCTCGTTTGTCAGTGGTTGCTACTAAACCTATTAGTATTGCACTCACGACTACAAGTTTCCTGGTGTGCATCAACATCGGCATCAGTGGGGCCTCCCGCTGTCGATCCTGTTGACGGGCGGATTGACAGTTGACACATAAGTACTGAAGATGAACTTGCGGGTCATCTGTCGAAACATTGATGAAGAAGTTAGACCAAATCTGGTCTTTGAATTCGCTCGCAGGGCATTTGGTGGACTGGCTACACGATGTGAGCTTTTTTCCACCCACACGACAAATCTTGCCCAAAAAGGCATGCTGGTCCACGATTTCTCGATGTGAAACCTTGTTGAACGCCCCGGCGATGTCGATGGCCAGTACATGTACCACGCTGCCACTCGCCGCAGTGGATGACCAGTCGTTGCGCAGTATCGTTAACAGATCTGATGTACCGAGTGCCTTCCGGAACCCATATTGCCGAGAGGAGATTACAATGTGCTTAGAGAAGAAGTTAATGATACAGGGGTTGACAATTGTTTCCATTGTCATGGAGAGAATGCAGAGGAGAGACACTGGGCGATGGTTGCTCAGGTCTGATCTAGCTTTTTTCTTGTTAATCGGAACAACCCGGGCGACCTTCCACAGCCTCGGTTGCACTTGCTGCCGGAAGCACAAGGAGAACAACCGGGCGACAGGCAAGGAGAGCTCGTTGGCACAATTCTTCAGCACCCTTTGGCTTTCGTTGGATTCAGTCTTCTGAGCTCTCTTCTGACAGTATCCGTTTGAGAGTGGACGGTAGCAAGCCAAGACGAGGTGTTACAGTTCAAAGATCGTCTGATGGCAGATCGTTTGGAAAGCCGTCTGCTCCTAGGCTGCCTTTTGACGAAAAGAACGTGCCAAAGCGCTCTACTTTCAGGGAGTTGACCGTAACCCGGACGCCGTTAATGTCAATAAGAGTTGGTATGGTTGTGCTGTGCCCACTACCACCTGCTTGCTTCAGCGTGGACCACGACTCTCGATCATACATGCTCCCACATGAAAGTGTGTCTCTCAGCTTGGCAAGGCGTATTGCCTGGGCCTGGCGCAGATAGTGAGTGCAATGCCTGGTCGCCTCCAGGGCCTCCAGTCGTAGCTGTGGACATGGAGTCGGCAGGAGCGTTCCCAAGCTCCCTGTTTTGCCTTCACCTGGGCTGAACATTCAGGACTCCACCAAGGAAGGTCAGACGGGCGGGTTTCCAGTTCACGAGATGGTATGAATTGCTTCATGCCTTGTGTAATGATCTCGGTGACATTATGATTTGTTTGGACATTGACTGATGGCTGTGGTCCAGTCAGCTTGACGATAAAAATGAGCCAGACTACTCGTCTCATGGGGAGGTTCCTCCGATACTTGTGTGGGAAATTCAGCTATCAGAGTCACATGGTCCGAGGCGCCAAGGGGAGGTTTGCAAACTTCCAACGGACTGTTATGTCAGAGATAGTCAGACATAATCAGAAGTACATGTACCTCACGAGATGAAGGAGAAATCGACTCGGCTTGTCTTCTTCTTGACGTGAAGGATAAACCAGGGCGTGCAGCTGTGGCTGCACAGTGATTTCATCGTGCTCATGCAACAGTGAGAACATTTGCTATGGGACCACATTGCAGCTGGGCATGCTGTCTCATCCTTAGTAGTGCTTAGTGGAGAACTCCAGGCAACTTGGAATCCGCCGAAGCAAAAAAACCCTCTAAAGGGCTTGGGCAGCCTTCCCAGCTGATTTACACCGAAAACAGCGCAACCTTATACGGCGTGTGTTCATATTAGCCCCCCCCCCCCCCAGTACAGCGCGTCCCATATAAGCCAGCTCATTACACACGTGACCCATAATGTGCAGGCCAATGTTTTTATTACCATGGCGGATATCAGGAGCAATTCTATTCCTAAAAAAGGACATCATAATAGTAATAATAATAATCTTCATAGAACCGACGAAGAGGCAACAGTTGTAAAATAACAATAACAATCAGATTTTGAGCAGTCAGACAGTCAGACGTGCACAATCTAGCACAAAACTGACTGAAGGAGTACTGAGACGTTCCACGGCATGAAAATCAGCTTGAGCACGGATCAATAGCGCTATACAACGGCCTTCCAACTTGGAAGGTTCATGTATATTAGTGCTAATTCCATAGAGGGGAAGGCGAGTGCCATCGAGCTTAGCACAAGCTACATACGAAGGCTTCAATCTTGTGCTAGATTGTGCAAGTCTGACTATTCTAACTGTTGTGAAGTCTGACTGTTCAAAATCTTGTTTGCAAGTATGCAAAAGTCAATGGCCGCGTGAGAACTTTGCAACGCACACTCGACAATGAAGAGATCATGCAGTGAACAACCTATTTGTATGTGGACTTGTTAATGTCCAAGCCATATCATGACTCTGCCCACAATTTGTTCATGGATTTGCTCCAGGCAATATGACCGTGCAATACTGAACTGGCGTTCATGGATTTGCTCCAGGCAATATGACCGTGCAATACTGAACTGGCGTTTTTTGAGTCGATCATTGCTTTTTTTAGTTGATCATGGTTTTCTAGGGTTGATTATAGATTAAGTCCAGGCAATATTGCAATGCAATACTGAACTGGCCTTTCTCATGATGTGAGTCTTTGATAAATCGAGTGTCCATCGTTTGGGTTTGAGTGTAAATGAGTCGGCCTCTATTGAGCGTGTACGCTGACAGGGTTTTCTGTTTTGGTGATATCCAGCTATGGGATGGGGCTTTTTTGGGGAGGGGGGGGGGGGGGTGGCGCTGAAGTCAACTGCGCTGCTTTTGGTCAAGCTCATGTGGGGGCATACCGCACTACTGTGGGATCTGAGTACTGAACAATAACAAACTGACTAGCACCCGAGCAGAAAAAGCAGTCAAAAGGTATAGTGTGCATCAGACATCATGCATAAACGCTCAGCGATTATACTTTTATCTTCGATCACGGCTGTTGGGGAACCGATCAAAAGTTTCTGTTTTTCTCCTTGCGGTTATGATTATTCGTGGCACGCGACCCAATCACCATGGTCACTTTCTTTGCGCGTCATTTTGGCTGTCTTGTAAGCGCCACCTTAGCAAGTAATTCTTCTTCTTTTCCTTTTCTTTAGAGACCTCTCTTTTAATTTACTGAAATCAGTACCCACGCTGATGATAACGGACAGAGTGGAACATCTAAATGTACTGTAAGTTTGCAACTTCAGTCATGTGTGAAGGTCTTGATGTGCATCGGAGATGTGGTTTTAAAATAAAAAGTCATTACGCTGATTCCTCACCTGAGTTCGAGAATTCGTCAGAGTCCCTACAGAGAGCTCGTTTTCACAAATGGAAGCCTCTTCATTCATGGCGCGCTCCGAATCCTTAGGTAGAGGGGACGGCTCGATACCGGGACGCTTTGACAGCCAAATTTGTATGCCACATTTGTATAGACCCAAACCGATCATCAGCGTTGATTTTTCACTCGAAATATGTTTGTGCAAGGAAACTGGCATGTTGAAGTTTGCTCTGGGGCCAGAGTCAATCGAACTGAGCCACTCCTTTGTGTCGACCCATTGCCTCCAAGTTGCCCAATTTTTCTCTTCAAAAAAGTTCAAATCAGAGGTGGCTCCAAACCGGACACGTTTTAGAATGCACGTCAAATTCACTCTGGGTCTGAAAGTAGGTAATTGCTATCGCTCCACGACGGCCAGTACAGAGTAACAATAAGCCTTGTGTGTGCTTCTCCATTAGTTTTGATTGGTATGCGGTGCTTTATTGGCGAGAGGCGAGCCGCTGTTTACCTGCGACAAGAAGTTGATTTTTCGAAAGTCGTAAAACTCAAGTCGCAGTGCGAAGCAACACGTCAAAAACTCACCTGCTTAATATGGCGCTTCTGGTCATCGCAGACCCATGAAATTTTGGCTCGGAGTATAACACATCGTAGTCTCACTGTGACATATGTTTTCTAATCAAAATACCAAGAGAGCAAGTGAATATTGAGTCCGTTCCGGTTTGCAACCTGTGTCCTATTTGAAACCGTCCCCTCTACACATGTTTTGCAGGGTACACATTTTCCATGATTCCATGATTCCATGATTCCATGATTCCATGATTCCATGATCCATGATTCCATGATTCCATGATTCCATGATCCATGCAAGTGTGCCTGTAAACAAGCTACCGGCCGTATTTGTAGTTGCCACGCACATTTGCATAACAACTTGCTAAACCTAAATCTGTTTTCGAGGAAACGATTATGAGCCGAATCAAACTTTCATTTCGCATTTGATTTGTAGCAAATGAGTAAGTAAGTATATGCTGATATTTGACCGCTTATAGACTATATTCATATTGCGTTTTGATACGCGTCACGCTTTGGAATACGACGTACTGGCAAACGTCCTTTTCATGTTACTTGCCACGGTATTGGTGCACCACCACACTTATATTTTTCTTTCTACGCCATGACTGGCAAACGGCCCCTTCTCAACTTTATTGGCTCTAATTCATCTCTAGCTACTGGAAGGTTTAACCCTTTACCGTTTGTACGTACAAATTTCGACCGCTCGCGGTCGATGACTTCTATGCGCACAGCGCTGGACTGGTTCACCGCAGAGAGCTGGGATTTTCCCTACTGGTAGCCAAGATGTACGTGCAGAGGGTGCCGACAATTTTTTTGTGTGATGCAATATAAAAAATCGCGAAAATCGCGACTTGAAAAATGCGCTTGGGGAAAAGTGCGTACCCTGCGACTTTTGGTATTGCCTGCAGATTATTTCGACTTTGCTTGAGCTGGCCTCACGACTGTCTGCCCTGCTGTGCAAGCCATGGACGCGGAGCAAGCTCTTTCGCTTCTGGAGACCCTTCCTGACGACTCTGTCGCTGCCTCATCCAGCGAAGATGAGTTTGTGGAGCCAGACAATCCTGTTGAAAATATTTATTCTGACAACGACCGCGACGATGACATGGCGAGTGAAAGCAGCGCCAGTAAGAGTGCCATGGATGTCACAGACGACGACAGTGTCGCTGAGATGAGTGCCACTAATGGTGGAAGGGGACGTGGCAGAGAGAGAAAATTCGGCCTTGGAATAGGCCGTCGTCACGGTAGAGGTCGTGGTGTACAGGTACTATGTATAGCCAGCGGTGCAACCTGCACTAGTCGATATTTGCAATACTTGGGACAATGCTGACACCGCTGTGACTGGTAACACTCCTGCATTCCACCCAGAGAACGAACCTGGTATTCACTTACCTGAGGGAGCCACTCCAGTGCAAGGATCTGATTTATTGCATATTGCAACAGTTTGCCCGATCGGCAATAAATCCAAATAATTATTAGTGCTAAATAGTGAAATCTGTGTTCGTTTTCTGGACTTGAAAGTTGTTGCATCGCATTCCTGAGGGTTTTTACTTTCAGAATCACCCCATTTTGTACATAATAAAAGTGAAAAATAAAAAAGTTACGGCATGAACAGTGACGGTCGCTTTTTGCTGTACAAATACCTAAAACGGTAAAGGGTTAATAATAGTAATAATAATTATTATTATTGTTAGAACATTTGAGGCCACATGCCACGTACTGCTCTTTTCTCTCCGAAACTCAACACTTGCAAGCCAGATATAATAATAATAATAATGACAGTTCGCATTTCACTCATTGCATGAGGTCAACGCATCTGTTAACAATTTCGAGCCAAGCAGCTCTATCAGAAGCAGATTGCACAGCATCCAGAAGCGACAGATTAATGCATTGTAAGTCTTTCTTGACAACGTCGATCCATCTCAGACGTGGTCGTCCTCGGGGTCGTCGTATGTCTGTTGTGTTGATTGACATTAGGAGGGCTTGGAACGAGGACGATTCTTCGCCTTCCCTCACTACATGGCCGAACCACAGCAGTCTCCGTTGCCTGCAGACTTGAGATAGTGGGATATGAAAGAAAGAAAAATCATCAGTCACACCACCGGGACTCGAACCAGGGACCTTGCTATTCATATCTGGCTTGCAAGTGTTGAGCTTCGGAGAGAAAAGAGCAGTACGTGGCATGTGGCCTCAAATTTCCTAGCACTTTGAAAATTCTCCGTGAAGTCCAATTTTGAAATTGCAATTTGTGTTTGCTCGCAGTGGACATAGTTTGATGCGCTCCCCATGATATCAAGCGAATGGCTGAGGGCCCTCTTGATTGGTGTGAGTTGCCAGCATGATGCAAGCCAGATATTGATTGATCGAAGAAGGATAGATTTCCTAACACTTTGAAAATTCTCCGTGAAGTCCAAATATGAAAAATAAATAATATAGGGCTCTTTTGAATTGATCGGCAGCAGTTATCGATCTTACATCAGCCGAGAGGGCGTTCCATGCAATACTGCCGTGAAACATCATACTCGAGCGACCAGCAGGCTCGCGAAGGAAAGGGACTTGGAGCAAGTTGGAAACTTGGCCCCTAGTGATGCGCTGATTGTTTAGCACGGTGTTTGGAGCAGTCGTTGTAAAGAGTTGCTGTAGGAGTGGGCTACAATATCCATTGATACAGCGGTGTACAAAAATTAGAACTTTCTGAGTGTATGTGTGAGTCAGGCTGACAATACTAAGAAGTGCCAGAAGCGGTGCGGTGGGGGTGAGAAAGCGCTGTTGCAAGGTTGCACGAATGCCGGCTTTGAAACTCTTCTCCAGACGTCCAAGCAACTGGGCAGAAAGCCCAGGAACAAAGCTATTAGAACCATAGCATAGCTGAGAGAGGACCATGCTAAGGAACCAAGTGCGTCTTGCGAGCAAACTGAGTCCTTGACCATGCCTCCAGAGCTGGCCAATGGTCCTAGCAGTCTTGCGGCTCAGGTGTGCAATGTGGGGCTTCCAGGACAGCTCCTCATCGAGTATTACCCCGAGATACTTAGCCGAAGGTGTGACAGCAAGTTTGTCAGCATGGCAGAACACCTCAGGCTGTGTGTCATCTGCGCCCCGGGGCTTTATGAAGAGAAGCTGAGTTTTTGCTGCATTCAGCAGCAAACCAATATCTTCTAGCCATGTGGCGAGGCTTGTGATGGCGTGGCTGAGGGTTCGGCATACTTCAGCGGAGTCGGTTAGTGTTAGTTTTCTTGCCAAATTGTGTCTGTGTGTATGTGTGAGTTTTCTCATCTTTCGTTTTGTTTAGGTCACCTTACAAGTGATGATTGATTAGTTTGCTGGCCTTGCCAATTGTGTTACCACGATATGTTAGTTCTAGAACATTCATCTGCCTGCATTATTCGTCTTTATATTATTTTCATAATTTGGCCTCCCCTTCCTCAATGCCCTGATGATGCCCAATGGGCAAAATATTGGCAAAGTTATTTATTTGGTGCAGCTGAGAGCCTGTTGCCGGAATGGCGGTGTGTTCAAGTCAAGGAATACGCTGCAATGGAGTTTGGGAATTCTGAAGAAATAATAATAATAATTAACTGGTTTGAGGGAAAGAGACAAACGGGAAAAGTCTGAAGAAAAAAATTGACTGTCACCACCAGGACTCGAACAATAATAATAATGATAATAAAGAGAAATGGAATCCATACATCCTGTACACACACCTTGTACACACTCTCTCTAACGGTCTATAGGCTACACTGCAATTGATATACATTAGCTCAAATTTTCGGGCAAGGCCCATCATCAGGAAAAAGAGAATCAGAGAAATGGAGTGAGAAGAAACAACACCTATGAAAATGATAATCCTAGCACTAAGGTAATAACAGGAAAAACTGCGAAAGCACTTAACGAACTTGTAAGGACTACTAGTATACTGTGACACAAGATATGACACCATGGCCAACCAGAGCCAAACAGACAGAACAAGCTGCTACTAAAACAATTTCAAACGAATAATGCTGTCCTTCTGGACACACAGATTAGGCTTATGAATACGTTGACAAACAGCTTCTAACAATAATAATAATAATAATAATAATAATAATACAGATGCATTCATACAGACACGTATACGCTTTTCGTACAGCTGTGCACACAGATTCTTTTGGACACAAACACCTGGGAACGACAGAACGAATCTCGGTACATGGGTCTGGATACGTCGTCTACGTTTTCGTTTCAGGTGTACGTACCGGGTACAATTTTCCCGCCATGTTCCATGTTGTCATGGAATTCAGGATTCACGGGCATTCCTTTACAGGATATCCCGAAAAATCGGAATACTTGGCAGGTATGGACACCACCTTGGCCCGCTCGCGTTTGTTAAATGTGGCATGTCGAGAGAACAAGTGGCCACAAACACGAAGACACTCGAGAAAAGGCAAAATAGGGCCACAAAACAGTGCAGTCTACATGTACAACAAAATGATTTCTCCAGCAACATGGTGCTCGTAGAACCTCTGAACAAATATGCGACGAGCCCCACCTAGCTTCTCGAATTTGGCGCATAGATTTCCATGACACGATTGACACGACATTCTCTCAAAAGTGGCCTTGAGTACGTTCTCAACGTTTTCAGGATCTATTATAAAAAGTTTCATGCCTAATGAAGCAATCATCAGGAGGCAATGTTTTCTTGTGATCACACTCTGCCATAGGATTGAGCACTGTGATCTGTTGTTATGGTTCATTTGTATCTTGTGTGCATTTAGAAACCTGGAAGGGAATCAGATCAGCCTGATACGCAACAATGCTTTCGCAAGGGCCAGGAAGGTTTATGAGTGGAGTTACCTCGAAAACTTGTAAGCATTGATCTCAGATTGGCCAACAATATTGTATGAGTCACACATGGGAGAAATGACGGTGAAAGCATCCGGGACCTGATTATTGACCTTTCCCATGCTAGTCTCCTTTTCTCCAAGCGAAGTAGTTTGCTTCATGCATTTTCATCATCCTAGGTTCGTTGGAAAGATCAGGACCACAAAAAATGACCGTGAAAGCATCCGGGACCTGATTATTAAAGGGGAAGTATACTCTTCCGGGGTGCAGTAGATCGTTTCGAGGAACACCACTACGAAACACGTCACAGGATGCTTGACAAACCGTGGGGTAAACACATGTCTGCTAATCACCAGCAGCACGGAACCTTCAAGAGCACATTATGTGATTTTCATTGAGGCCCAAGCACTGGGTATGGAAACACGGTTGGCCAGAAGAAAAATCAGGGAGCCCATCAATATTCCAGAGCATCGTCCGGCGAGCAATATCTCCTTCGGATGGCCATTGAAGGAGCTAGCACCCTCACAGTGTAATTGGTACTTGGAAATAAATCTTGCTGTGTCTGTACAGGCTTGTACACACTATGATTGTGAAATACACCTGCCCACACACGTTTTCTGCGCTTCATCTGCTGAGCTGCTGCATACCCACTCTTTCAGGGCACTTCTTGTTTGTTGTACATGTACATGCAAATTCACACGGATATTGTGTGTTTCGTTTCTTTTGTACATGGATATACATACGCTCTCGCTTGCTTTTGTTATAAAAGGCCAGGTTCGACCCTTGTACATTGTTCTGACGATGGGTGACTGGCCTGAAACGTCAATAATTTTTTTCGACATAAAAATACTTGGTCCGGCTCATCGCAATTGTCGCTTATCTCCCAAGCACCTTTTGACAGGTAAGACCCAGTCCAATCACGATATCTAACTTACTTTTGCTTGGGAGGTTGTGATGGCAAGATCAAATGAGGCACCAAAGAAAAATGATCGCAACTAGCGCTTTGAATCGCGATGTGTTCGACTTTTTTGGGATGTGGAAATCTGGCCATTCACTGTCTGTGTTGCCAAAAGCCAAGCGCAGCGACCCGAAGACCGGAACTGTAGCAGGGGCAACTAACATCCTAGCCTGGAGAGCGTGACAGGCACGCGTGCATGGCAGAGGAGTATGAGCGTCATGCTGAAGAAAAAAGGTGTTTTCGATGTGCGATGCGTGCATCGAGGGACGTTTTGGTTGTTCCTTTTGTTCCTTCGTGGACCTGGCAGCACCATTACAATAGTCGTGGTCAGTGTATCCAGCGGAGCGTATGACAGCTGTCTGGAGAGGCCTGTATGCCTCTTTCGAAGGCTCTGTTGAAACACACTGTGGTGACACACAGGTCACACTGCCCACGTTCCTTCAAGCACCAAAGTGACAGGCACAACTGTTCCTTTTCCCATTGCTGCCATACAACAGGCTGAGAAAGCAAGAGACACTCTACCAGTCTACGCCAGCAGCTAGACACAAGCAATTATTTTTAATGTCAGCTCATGTAACGGCAGCGGCAGCTCTGTGATGGAGAGTTGAATGAACTCTGGACCTGTAAGAGTGTGAGTGCAAGAACGCGCTCCTTCGCTGATTTATTTCATGCATTTTGCTTACCTTGCTTCCCTTCTATGACTCGCTTCACCTGATTCCATGGCTGAATTTTTGTTCTTGTGGCGGAGAGTATTCATGTATCATGCTTCCTCACTATGCCTATTGAAAAATTCGCAGAGCGGTAACAAAACTCCTGTTCTTAGTGGCGATAGATAAGCGACAATTGCGATGAGCCGGACCAAGTAGAATTTTTATCTAAAGAGTCCATAGCAACTAAATAGGGCGGTTGTCAGCTGACGAACCCCCTATTTTGGTATGCCCTATAATCAATTTTTCACCAGTTGTAGTCTTCTGGGTACTGAGTCGAATGGTCTTTCAATGAGGAAGCTGAGACGCTCCCTCCCTCCTTTATTCCCAATCGAGCTCGCCACTTCCACCGAAACTGGTTGACTGCGCCCTACAAGATCGGGATTTGTATGTCACTAAAGGCGTCATTCCGTTCCTATAAAAGCTCGTATGACCGCCACTGACCCAATGTTGTAGTCATTTGGACGCTGATTCGGCTGGTTTAGTCCAAAAAGGCTGCGATGCAACGCTCGGCCCATATTCCCAATCGAACACGGTTCAGTCACATGCTCGTGTGTACACCAGTCGATTGGTCACAGTACCCGCAGGCTACAATTTACAGCCTGTTTGGGCACTTTCCTATCCCTCGAGTTGACCCGGTCCCACCACCAGCTCTCCACACTCTAGAGACTTCCATTTCCACTGAGGAAGTAGAGCATTTTACCTCTACTGGCGTATTGTTTAGACTAAATGTAGTAATTTTCTTTTCAGATATCTCAGTATAGATTTCTGCAGTCAAGCCAAGCCAAATTGAGTGGCTGGGATTTCTTTTCAGGGTTCCTGGCTGCCCGTAGTAGAGAGGTTTAGTCCCACGTAACGGATACGGGAATGTGGGTGAAACACGTAAAGTTCATGCAATGGACCAACGTTCACAATGTTGTTTTTAGTCACATGGAACAAACAAAAGCATGAAGCGAAAGACTCAACCTTGGTCAAAGACGAAGCTTCGAAGCTCATCGAATATTTTGATTTCGTGTTCCAGAAATTTCTTCAGCTGAGCACCCACACAGCTTGCACAATGCGCTCGATTCTGGTTTTCACCCACGCTCTGGCGGAACGTGGGTGAGCCTCCACACACGGTATGTCGTGAATAAGAAAACAGCTGTACTTGGGTCACTGAGTATCACGTGGTACACACACGTAAAGTACACACGGATTACTTGGGACTAAACCTCCCACTAGCAATCTCAATTTTCATCATTTCTTAAGGAGGTATAGCCAGTTGTGTGGTTCATTTGCTAAACGATATTCGATATTGAATCAATGTGAAGTACCAAGGAGCACGGTTTAGGGACCATCGCAAAAGTTCGCAGAAGCCCCTGAAACGAAGAGCATACGTTTTTGGGGGGGGGGGGGGGGGAGGGAGTCGGTGTCGAAAATCGCAAACCGGGCTTCAATTCAAAAAAGTATTGACGACATGTAGGAGCTGATATAGATTAGCATGCTCAAAGGATACAACTGCATAGCTCTAGCTGTTCTCGTTCTTAGATCACCCACTGCAAGGTGATATCATCGTAGCATTTATAAAGTGCTGTACATTGTTACACACTGATACAACAATGCTTGTGTAGTATATTTATTATAATAATTATTATGTGTGAGCATCCAAGTGAAATAATGAAGCCCATATTGTGACTGTAGTTTCGTTTGAGGGGGGAGGGAGGGAGGTGAGGCCCGAAACTAACGGTCTTCGTTTCGGGGGCTTCTGCGAACTTTTGCGATGGTCCCTTACTAAATCCAATATTGGCTGACGTGTGTAGTGGACAAAGTGGCTGACGTGTGTAGTCGCCAAAAACATTATAGTCAAACATTATGGCCCAATAGATTTCATTCAAATTTTTCAGATGTATACTTCACGACAGAGATTCCTGGCAGTCACACTGTGCTTACACAGCTGCATAATGCCATCTATTTTTTTATTTTAAAACTCGGATGTTTAGCCAATAATAAATGTAGAAAGGAAGAGGACATATGGATACGAGTTAAGAGTAACTCTCCATCACTGTAACCATATACTATATACAGTCAGAAAGTGCAACAACTACAATTATAGTATCTGGTTACAGTGATGGAGAGTTACTCTTAATTCGTATCCATATGTCCTCTTCCTTTCTACATTTTTATTTTACTATTTCTTTCGGCAACGCAGATGATGATGATGATGATGCTACTTAGATAGTATTGGGAAGAGTCTGCAAAGTTATAGCCCCCCCCCCCCCCTGCAGCCACCAGAAGCATACTTTGTGATGACAGAAATACATAAGACAGTATACTGTCATCAAGAAAATTGAAACTGCTTTATGAAATTCCTTCCAATTTGGTAAGGATGTTTCTTTGATTGATTAAAAGTGCCTGAGAAGTTTCATGGGTCTGTTACCAACAGAATATAACTTTTCTTGTCAAAACCACTACTCAAAAAGAATATAATATTATAAAGTTTTCATCGGGAGGCTCGAACCTGTGACTCTGAGGGGCAAAAAGTCATACTATGTCTGCTCCAAACCTGCGCAAAAGGATGCTTTTGCTGTCGTCTGTCAGGCCAAAGTTCACTAGCTTGTTAGTTTCACTGATACTTCTTTCCAACTGGTCCTTTGCCTTAGGCTCCTGAAGTCCTCAAAAGTCGACGCGATACGTTTGCAAATCATGAGCCAGTTGTTGCCGTTTTGAGTTCAAACACAGTCCACGAACATTGAACATAACGGTGTAAGCGTTTCTCAAAGCCGTACAGGAAAGCTCAGCATGTGGAGACAAAGCACGGATAGCCTTGCAGGATGTGACAGAAAGGTTGGGAGAGAGTACTGGTAATACGATTTTGAGCCAACAATGTGAAGAAGAGGTTGGTGAGACTTCGGCAATAGTAGGGGAAGAGTGTGTTGCTCTCTACATGGGAGCTCGCGGGTTTCCTGCCGACTTGAATTCTCACTTGACTGACTCACGACTGCCATCCAGAGCACACGAGGAGTCCATCGAATCGTCCACTCAGCAAACCTGCAAGAAAGCACCACTCCCTGCTCAATACACAGTGTTTCGGGGAGTTCACCCCTCATCAGTTCAACTTGAGTAGGCTGAGGAAGACTGTGCCTAAAGAGCACCACTTATATAGTGCTCTCCAGGCACAAACATCACATTGGATACAAACTTACAACGATGCTCCGTTTCCACCGCGACAAACACCTCGTGAACACCAGATAGCAGCGTGAGTCAGTGTCGCTCATGGTGGTGTTAGTGGACATTTTAGCGTAACTTGTAGTTCCTTACGAAGTAGTGGTTGCGACTTCGGCGATGACTTGTAAGAAAGGGTTTGCTCCCCACACCGGAGCTCGCGCTATTTCGCCGACTTTACTTGACACTTGACTGACTCACGACTGCCATCCAGAGCACACGAGAAGTCCATCGAACCTTCGACTCGGCAAACCTGCAAGAAAGCACCACTCCCTGCTCAATACACAGTGTTTCGGGGAATTCACCCCTCATCAGTTGAGCTTGAGGAGGCTGACGATGGCAGTCGTGAGTCAGTCAAGTGTCAAGTAAAGTCAGCGGAATAGCGCGAGCTCCGGTGTGGGGAGCAAACCCTTTCTTACAAGTCATCGCCGAAGTCGCAACCACTACTTCGTACTGTTGTGCCCAGCGCGGGCTTGCGACTAGTTGGTTTGGAGGTGACAGCGTTGCGAATGACCGAGGGTCCTCGACGTCTGTCTCACCGTCCAGGAGGGACACTGACTCACGCTGCTATCTGGTGTTCACGAGGTGTTTGTCGCGCTGGATGCGGAGCGTCTCTGTAAGTTTGTATCCCTGGTGATATTTGTGCCTGGAGAGCACTATATAAGTGGTGCTCTTCAGGCACAATCTTCCTCAGCCTACTCAAGCTCAACTGATGAGGGGTGAATTCCCCGAAACACTGTGTATTGAGCAGGGAGTGGTGCTTTCTTGCAGGTTTGCCGAGTCGAAGGTTCGATGGACTTCTCGTGTGCTCTGGATGGCAGTCGTGAGTCGGTCAAGTGTCAAGTAAAGTCGGCGGAATAGCGCGAGCTCCGGTGTGGGGAGCAAACCCTTTCTAGTAGTTCCTTGGTCCATTTTCTTTTCTATAAATTAATGGTGTGTGTGTGTGCACATTCAAGCAAAACTTGTAGTTTCTTGGTGCTATTTTCCTTTCACCCGCATCTATTGTTAAGTAGGATGCAGTCTTCTGCTGTTCAATTGGATGTTTCCCTCTTTGCTGCCTCCAGAAACGTGGCTGGAAACTTCATCACCAAAATTGAGCCCAAAGCCTTCCATGGTCGAGCTGCTGCCTTGCTCAATCTGTATGTATTCAGTTTGATTCTGTTCAAAGTTGATGAAAATGTTCTTACCCCTTAGGCAAAGGATGCCATATGTTCTGAAGTCGAATGGCATATAGGTTGATATTGAATGTTGCTGTTTCAAATCTTTATTCTCACGATAGCCAGTGGCCAATAAGAGATAATAGTGTAAGAAAGGAGAAAGAGTGAGGAAGAATTGGGTGGGCAGGGCCTAGGGGTTAATGACTACTTAAGTGTACTGGCAGGGGTGGTCGCCACACAAGCATACAGAGTTGCGTACTTAAGTGTACGGGCAGGGGTGGTCGCTACACGAGCATACAGAGTTGTGCAACAGCAGGGATATCTCGGATTTGAAGGGAGTACGAGAAGGGATTTCGCGAAGCTGGGTGGGCAGGCAATTAACCCATTGAGGGCTACAGGGCCTTTCATCTGAGGCTCTGAAGAAAATGCTAAAAATAGGGTCAATGTAAAGCTCCACAACTTCATAGTCTAAGCAACTAGGTTGTTGAACTCTTGTGAAATGTTGACCAAGGCTATAATCATCACGCTGACCAACTCGATATAGTTCCTAGAAAGGGGAACAAAATGCTATATGACACATAAGTTCATCCAAATTGCGTAAAATACGAAAAAGTCGCCAATTTGAGTTGAATCACCGGACGAAAAAGAAGAAGAAAAAGTATCCAAGCGGGATTCGTACCCGCATCCTCTCGTACTGAATGCAGGAAATGTACCGCTCGACTCTGGGGTCTCTTGCAACCCTACGCTGGAACACGGAGCTTAGTACGGTAGGATAGCCTGTCAGCCCGAGTATATTCGGGCTCAGCGCCCTGACGTCATCCTGAATCCCGAATATATTCGGGCTCAGCAGTCAATGGGTTAAAGTAATGAAGGGCCTTGTACAGGGGAGAATGGAGACAGCGGTCAGTCCGCGGAGTTGGCAAGTGCCAAGTACGAGAGCGACGAAAATTATACGAAGGTTGCACGTTGCTAGCAGTATGCAGCGAGAGTATATGTGGTGGGGCATAATTGTGGCGCAGAGAATGCGCGAAGAGTATATGTTTAACTTTAAAGCGTGAAAATAATGTTGGCCATTTGATGCGATGCAAAAGGTGGGAGTGTTCTAAGTGTGTGTAAAGGGGAAGGTGGAGACATATTCTGGCGGCTTTCCGCTGGAGTCGTTCTCGCCTGTCAAGGGAAGTGTGGGACAACGGTGTGAGAGCATTGCTCGCATATGAGAATATAGGTAGTATGTATGTCTGATAGATGTGAGATAAAGAATCACTGGTGAGTGTAGACCTTAGTCTAAAAAGAATATTGAAAGACTTGAGTGATTTTTTGACTATGTATTCAACATGCTCCGTCCAACGGAGGTCATGCTGAAAGATTATTCCGAGATGTTTGTGTTTTTGTGCTACGGTAAGCGGACTATTCCTGAGGGTGATCTGGGGTAGCTGTTCAGAGGGGCGGTTATTGTGGTAGAATGGGAGGATGACTGTTTTCTTTGTGTTAACCAGCAGGTGCCATTTTTGAAGCCAGTCTCCAGCTGCTGTGACACTCTGTTGTAGGTTTCGGGTGCAGTCTTGAAGAGTTCTCGCTATGGAAATCAGAGCGGTGTCATCTGCAAACTGGCTACAGGTGGTTCTGGGATTCTCACATGCGTGTGGAAGGTCTATGGTGTAGACGAGGAATAGAAGCGGCCCAAGAACAGATCCCTGAGGGACGCCGGCAGAGATCTCGAGGAAAGGCGATAGGTTGCCATCCACCTGGACCCTTTGCCGACGCCCCAACAGGTACCGTCGGAACCACTCCAGGGCGTTGCCCTGGACACCATAGTGGGAGAGTTTTGCTAGAAGGCCTGCATGCCACACACGATCGAAGGCCTTGCTTAAATTGAAAAAGCAGGCATTGACGTGTTTCCCGTCGTCTCTCGCAGTGGAGAGGGTATGGACGAGACGGGCGAGCTGCTGCTCAGTGCCGTCTTTCTCGCGGAATCCGGACTGCTGGTTGGGCAGGTGGGGTGTGATGTGCTTGTAGAGGAGTTGATGTGCAATTTTTTCTTGGATTTTTGATGTAGTGCTCAAGAGAGAGATGGGTCTATAATTTGTTTGTTGGGTTGGGTCACCCGGCTTGGGTACTGGAGTAATGGTGGCATCTTTCCACTCCTGTGGGATTTCTCCGGTTTGGAACGATAGATTAAAGAGGGACGATAACGACGGTGCAAGTTCCTTAGCCGCTTCTTTGAGTAGGCGGTTTGGAATAGAGTCAAACCCGGGGCTTTTGTTGGTATCAACTCCGCGGAGGAGTTTTTCGACCTCAGCTTGGGAAGTCGAGATTTCTTGAAGGGGACTGAGGATGTCAGGGGTGGTGTTGATGGCTGGGGTTTGCTCATGCGCATTGGCCACGGACAGCTTGCTCTGTGAAATGAATAATTCGTTGAGGGCAGCGGCTTTTTGTGCTGGTGTCGTTGCAGGAGTTGCTTGGCTGACGAGTTCGGGTATGCGTTGTTTTGTAGCTGTAGTTAGGTGCTTCATGAGGCGGTGTAGGGAAGTAGAGGAGGCTGTTGAGTTGTTTACGAAATCCGATTTAGCACGACGGAGGAGGGTGGTGACACGGTTTCTTTGGGCAGTGAACGTGTTCCAGTCGTCAGGCGAGCGTGAGTGAAGGTATATTCTGTGTTTTCTGTGCTTATCCTTGATCTCTTTCAAGAGGCCCTTTGATATCCATGGTCGTGCTGGCACGTTCTTCCTGTCCCAAGGGGGGGGGGGTGAGTGCGAGTAACTTGGCAGTGTTCTTGGGCGATGCTCAGGACATTGTCGCGCCAGGATCGCCAGAAGGTGTCAACTGGGCATGGGTCGTGTTGGTTTAGATGGTGGTTGAGATTTGTGCGTGAAAGGGCTTCTCGAAGAAGGTGGATAGTGCTGTCTGTCCATGACCAGAATGTGGTTTTTCTGGATCGTGGAGGGGAGTTGTTAATTATGGGGGGCAGTTGATTATTGATGGAGATAGCTGGTGAGAAGGGCGTGTCCTCCTGGCTGACTGTTGAACCAAGGTCCGCCCATGGCACAACACTTAACAAATCAGATTTTCGAGATGCTGTGGCGCATCGGTACGGTCTACCGCTTGATTGTCTTCCAACGAACTGTGTATGCGGAGCTAACTTGTCGACTGACCATGCCATGGTGTGCTCTTGTGGTGGCTATCCCACCGCAAGGCATAATGAGATACGTGATCTCATCGCTGAGCTACTCAGAAGTGTAAGTCCCGATGTGGCAATCGAGCCCAACCTTCTCCCATTTGGTGGTGAGACATTGGCATGGTCAACATCTAACCGATCCCAGGAAGCGCGGCTTGACCTCAGGGCTCGTGGCTTTTGGACGCGGCAGCAGGAGGCCTTCTTCGATATCCGGGTAACGCATCCCAGGGCCACCTTGCTGTCTCGTGAAAAAGCCATGAGCCAATTGGAGCGCAATGAGCGGGAAAAAAAGCGGCATTACGCAGAGCGAGTGAATCAGATCGATCGGGGCACATTCACCCCTCTGGTATTTGCGACCAACGGCATGATAGGGAAGGAGTGTTCCGTGTTTTTGAAGGCATTGGTTGGCCGTATTCTAGAGAAAAATGCTGATTTGGTGTATTCTGTTGTTGTCAATCATTTGCGATGCCGTTTGTCATTCTGCCTACTTCGCTGGTGTATCACCTGTTTACGTGGCTCTAGGTCCTCCTATCGCTCTAAGCGCTCGGCGAGCTTTGTGAATGACTGCCGTGTGCTCTCTAGGGCATAGTTTTTCTTTGTCATCATCTCGTATAATGTCAAAATGTGATCTAAAGTTTGTTTTCCGGTGTCCTGAAGTTTTTTCTTTTGTATGAATCTCGGTTTCATTTCTGGCGGTGTTCAACCAGTTCTGGTTTGGATGTTTTTCTTTCCTTTTCCTTCCCCTTTTTCATGTATAAACATTGCTATTGCCATTAATATTTGTTATCTTTCTATTTTGTTACAATTTTGCTGTTCGCCTTTTGAATTCATTGCCCTCCTTGCATTCACATCTTCATTGCTTTGTGCTTTCAATAAAACCACATTTCAGTAGTAGTAGTAGTAGTAGCAGCAGCAGCAGCAGCAGCAGCAGCAGCAGCAGCAGCAGCAGCAGCAGCAGCAGCAGCAGCAGCAGCAGCAGCAGGAGCAGTAGCAGGAGCAGTAGCAGTAGCAGTAGCAGTAGCAGTAGCAGTAGCAGCAGCAGCAGCAGCAGCAGCAGCAGCAGCAGCAGCAGCAGCAGTAGCAGTAGTAGTAGTAGTAGGAACTACTACCACTGGGAACTCTAGGTGAAGTTTAACGAACTTAGCAAGAGAGTGGGCCTGTCGACAGTCGGTTATTGATGTTCCCCGGACTAAGTAGAAACTCCTTTGTCACGAGTCACTGACTGTTGCCAGTCACTGATGGTATTGTTGGGTGCGACACAGACGAATACTCCTCAAGACAAAAACAAACAATGGGAACAGGCAGGTGGAACGACGTTTATTACGGGAGACGAAGAGACCCAGACCCAGACGAACGGAACGACTACATTGTGGAAGAGAGAGAGCGATCGAGTGAGGGTGGCAAGAAAACGGGCTCCGGTAGCTATGGCAAATATGGACACGCAAGTAGCTACCCAGGCCAGCGGAACAAAAGATGACAAACAGAGACAAAAGGAGACAAAGGGTGAATACGGCGTAGTATGGGGTGCATGCAGGCCAGCTTGGAAAAGGTTGTAGAATGTAGGGGAGGAGGCACTTAACAGTATCTTCACACTGCTAGATGCTTTTCTTCTGGTGCAGCGGATAAGGCTAATTTGTGGATAGTGAAGCATTGTGAGCTTAAGTGGAACCTAGTATATTCAACTGATAGCCAATACCGCCTTTCATTCTGGTGATCCTGTGTCTTATTTAATGAATCAGAAACCTGACTCGAAATCTCCTCACTTCCTTGCACGGTGTCCAGAATCTCCACCTTCTGCGTCATTTGTAAGTTTTCATGCTTTCTAATGTTTAAATTAAAGTTGTGAACTATACCTTTCGCTTGTTCAATAATGCAAAAATCTCTCCTTCTCTTCCCCTCTGTGCGCTCTCAGTCAACACATGGCTAACTGCAGACGCCATTACACACACCAATAACTAGAAACAACGAAGCGGTTACGAAGTATTGTTAGTGATAATATTCCTTTTGACAGTTGTTTCGACTACCAAATGCTCGTAAGAGATGGTGATACGGAAAAGGATACTGTAATTGACAGGAAAATTATAGAAAAAGAAAAAATAAGTTACCACTTTGTAACATGGAAATTTTGGGCATAAGTTATGCGCTCGAGTCCACCTCGTTAACCAGATTTTGAACAGTCAGACGTGCACAATCTAGAACAAAAATGACAAGGAGCACTTCGTCCTCCCGAAGCTTCCCTTTCATATTTTCATCTCTGATAATATTGAGCCTCCAAAGTTGGGTGGTTGTTGCTTTGCATTGTCGAATTGTGGTTTGACCGTTCTGTCTGGTTTTGCCGTCCCGTCATCATATTATTGTGATGATATTATCAGGCCAGCATTCCATGAAGCCTTGGATTGTAGCTTGTGCTCGGGTTGATGGCGCTCGCCTTCCCCTCCTTGGAATTAGCACAAATATCCATGAACCTTCCAAGTTGGAAGGCCGTAGGTTAGTGCTATCGAGCAATGTTAAAGCTGACGTTCATGCCGTGAAATGTCCCAGTACTCCTTGTCAGTTTTGTGCTAGATTGTGCAAGTCTCACAGTTCAAAATCTGGTTTGGACTTGATCACCTAACTTGTGCCCACAATTTCCATGTTGCAATTTTTTTCCTTGGCTCACCATCTGAGTTCTAAATGCACACCTGAGGAGCCGTCATGAACAACTTATTATTATTTTTTTACTATTACGGCTGATCCACAATACAACTTTCTGCGATGCGACATGCGACTTGCGACACATGCGACGAGCTGCAACAGCGACACACGGTTCACAATATTCTTTATGTTTGCGACATCCTCATGCACAAGTAGTACTATGCACGTGCAGTGCACGTGCACCCAGGGTCGAAGCTGTACTCCATTTGCGTATGTCGCGTGTCGCATGTCGCAAAAGTTGAACTTTCTTCAACTTCTGCGACAGGTGCATTGCGACAGCTTGCGACAGCTTGCGACAGCTCACGACAGGCAGTTTCTTGTCGCAACTGTCGCAAATCGCGTGTCGCGTCGCAGAAAGTTGTATTGTGAATCGGCCTTTGTGCTCAAACCCAAAATAAATAATTATATTGACAAAAACAAACAGCTACTGAGTAGGGGCTGCACTGGGCAGCAGTGATGGTGAGGTACCAGGGGCTCCACCGACCAAAGGTCTCCGCTTCAATGCCACAAGCACGCACCAGGAAAAAGAAACAGAAATGTAAAGCGAAGCTGTTAATACAAAAAATGTATTATCTACGCATGCATCTACGCAAGAATCACCACCAGCCAATGAGGACATGTGTCAAAGTATTGAACGTTTTCGTTCCCTTCTTCTCAAAATACTACAGGGAATGACGGAAATACGCTAAGAGAAAAAAGGTGACAAAAGTTCTGAAGGTGATCACGAAATACACAGGGCTGCTGGGACATGCATACAGACGGGGCTAGAAGTGCCTCTCTCTCTCCTCTCTTTCTTTCTCTGTCTGTCTCTCTCTCTGTCCCTCTCTTTCTTTCTCTGTCTCTCTGTCTCTCTCTCTCTCTCTCTCTCTCTCTCTCTCTCTCTCTCTCTCTCTCTCTCTCTCTCTCTCTCTCTCTCTCTCTCTCTCTCTCTCTCTCTCTCTCTCTCTCTCTCTCTCTCTCTCTCTCTCTCTCTGTCTCTGTCTCTGTCTCCCTCTCTCTCTCTCTCTCTCTCTCTCTCTCTCTCTCTCTCTCTCTCTCTCTCTCTCTCTCTCTCTCTCTCTCTCTCTCACACTCTGTCTCTGTCTCTCTCTGTCTCTCTCTCTGTCTCTCTCTCACACACACTCACTTGATTTCTCCCTTTCTTCTTTTGTTCTCTCTGTCATATTCTATCTACGACCCAAGCTTGATTTTTCACTCCTTCCATACTCATCTACTACTATGTACATAATCATTCATTTTTCATTCAATCTTCTGCATGCTCTGTGTCCATTCTCCCTAAAATTCATGCTCCACGGCTTGTGATTCAATCTTTGTTATCCGCTTTCATATTATTATAACCTTATACATACATTTTCATTACAATTTACTCTTCATCATTTTCTCGGACCTAGGTCTACGGACCTGGTGAGAAGGCAGAAATGCCTGTTCACTTCTTGGTGAAGTATAATAAAATAGACAAACAAGTTTCTTGCAATTTCAAATTTGGACTTCACAGAGAATTTCAAAGTTTTTAGGAAACTAGAGGCCACATGCCACGAACTGTTCTTTTCTCTCCGAAACTCAATACTTGCAAGCCAGATATGAAAGAAAGAGGAACGTGAAGTCTAAATTTGAAATTGCAATTTGTATAGTTTGATGCGCTCCCCATGATATCAAGCGAATGGCCGAGGGCCCTCTTGATTGGTGTGCGTTGCCAGTATGATGCAAGCCAGATGTGAATTGATCGAAGAAGGATAGATTTACCATCGCTATGGATAAGAGTCATACTGTAGCTCAGTTGGTTAGAGCATTGCTCGCGAATAGCAAGGTCCCTGGTTCGAGTCCCGGTGGTGTGACTGATGATTTATTCTTTCTTTCATATCTGGCTTGCAAGTGTTGAGTTTCGGAGAGAAAAGAGCTGTTCGTGGCATGTGGCGTCTAGTTTCCTAAAAACAAGTTTCTTGACCTGAATTTGAACGCGCGTCTTGTTCAGCGTGTTGCTGAGTGCCGAAGGGTCTGCCTCAAACTATGATGAAGACGTCGACCTTAGCTGCAAGTGCAGCGAAGCGGGAGGCCACAAACTAAAGCTCGGTCCGTCGACAACGCTCTGCCTCAATTTCCAGCTTATTTCTTTGCCCTTCCATTGGAAAAAAATCATTTGAAAAATCGCTCCAGGAACCCACAATTTTAATGACGCGGAGGAAGTAGATCATACTCCCCCTTTAAGCCGGCTTCTTCTTGAGAGGATAATGCTTCTTTCTTCCTTTGTTGTGAACAGGGATATTTCATACAACCGTATGCAAGAAATTCAACTTCCGTCGGACATTGGATTACACAAACTCAGGACATTGTGAGTTCTTACTTGCGGGGGGGGGGGGGGTAATTAGTCTGAAAGTTACTACGCCATTATGCAAAAACCGAGATTTGATGACTTCCGAAGCCACTTTGTCCCTAAGCGAATATGGTGTGAAAGACAGTTCATCCAATATGCATGTGTCCATACAAACCTGAACCCAAATGGAGCCAACAGTCAGCACTGTTATGACTCCAGGATTTACTGAACGTTATCACTAGTTAGCCAACAGTCAGCACTGTGATGATTCCAGGATTTACTTATCACTAGTTCCATACCTGCCAACCGTCACGATTTAGGCCTGGACCGGCCCGATATTGCAAAGCGGTACTAGACACCCAAAAGTGCACTAATTTTGTCACATGCCTGGGCTGGATCTGTGTACATTTCATACCTATGTCATGGTCCCCATTTCGGGTTTGCAAAGATTGGCAGGCATGTAGCATGTAGTATACTCTCATGCCTTAACGTCAGGTGAAATACAATGGATTAAGTATAGGAGAGCGGTGATATAAACAGTGCAAGGAAGAACAGCTGAAACACGTACACATAGCGTGGTAGGGTGCTAGGGTGCTAGGGTGGCCGCTTGCTAGGGTGGCCGCTGGTGTTGAGTGCCTCGCTGTGTATGGGAATAGCATCACAGAACACTGGTTCTGAGCGGGAGATGCTTGCCAGTCGGTTGTTGATGCCTGCTGGGATGTTCTTGGGGACTTGCGGTGGGTGATTGGAGTGGATATTGACGTACGGTGTGGTGTCGTTGGGTTTTGGTACGGTTGGTAGGTTGCCGTGGAGAGGCTGATTGTGATGTTTAGGTACTTAACCCTTTCCATGCCAGCATGTTTTCATGTGTTGGCCACGCATTGTTCAGCCGCTGAGCTCAACTGTTCAAAGCTGCACGCGCACCTCAGAACGAAATTTATTGCTATTTCACTGTACCTTGATGGATTTTCACGATCCATGGCTTGTTGGAAAGATCTGGACAACAGGAAGCCATTTCAGGGACTCACAGCGCGACAGACATACCAGGGCCACTTCCATCTACTCTCAAAGTCCCCTACCATGCCTGAAAATAACAAAACGACTGCCTCTCATGTTTTCTTTTGCCTTCTTGCTCATTGTGAACTGATTTTCACGATTCAAACTGCGTTGGAAAGCTGAGATTCAAGCGCGTTTGTTGCAGCTGACTGCGCACGCCCTGTGTCTAGGGGAAATCCCCTAGCCCGCACAAAGTCGCGAACAAAAATTTGAATCGATCGCCAAAAAATGAAATTTGCGCCTTCTGGCCGTTCAATTTATCGCCGCTCGGTCATACCTTATCGTGTCGCGAAGCTGAGCTCAAGACTTTTCCAGCGGTGTCTCAACCTTAGCAGTCCGAGATATTGTGACGGAGTTACCATAGTTTGTACACTCGTCTATAGCGAGCGATACACATATACTGTACAGTGTACATTGTACAGTCCAGGCAGAACGCGTAAACGCGTCCGTGGCCAATCGGCTCATACTAAAAAAACGCGTATACGCGTCCATGGCATGGAAAGGGTTAACGATGTTCAGGTCGACGTCTATATTTACAACAACACAAAAAAACAATCAAATTCAGCTACAGTCGCATGCGAAATATGGCTGCACGCATCAAAAGTCACGAAAAAGCGTTTCTACACCCACAAACGAAAAAAAAATGGAAAAGCCCTGCAACTGCAGAGACAAGCCATCCTGTCCACGCACCCGCGAATGCCAAACCACGGAGCTGATCTATGTACCATCCATAATGTCAGGCCCCACCAAGAAAGAATACACGGGTATGTTGGTGCCACCGGACACGATAATTTCCCCCTTTTTACCATGGTGTCACCTAAATAAATCTCCATAGCCTCCTGCCTACACCACCCACATATCTTGCTCATACACTGCGAGGCTAGCTCTGTCATTACCTCTACAGCCTCTTGCCAACAACATCCACTCACCTTGCTCTCTACCTCCTGCCCATACCAGCCACATATTCTGCGCCAACATTGCACTGCTAGCCCTGTCACTGCCTCTACAGCCCCCTGCCTTCCGCAACCACACACTCTGCACACAGCTTCCTGCCTAAAATCACATCCCTAGCCCTGAAACCTATGCAGCCCCCACATTCTCATTCAGCTTTTCCTGTAGTGCTACAAGACCAACCCTCTCCTGGCATATATGCCAGCATGGCTGGCATCTAATCCTCAGGTTGCTTGATGATTGCGAATAAGCCTTGATTATCCGTGTGCTTCTGTATTACACTCTGGAAGTAGCAGCAAATACGCCTTCGATTATCCTTGTGGTTCTGTATACACAGCTTCTAAACATGAACAATTGACAAAATAGAAGAAAAAATCACCTTAGTGTACCGCGAGACATTGAGCATGCTTCAAAAAGCAACAAGCAATAAACAACAAGGACTTGAGAACTAACATTAGGACAATTGGAATGTACAGTGGAAAGGTTTTTCTAGTTGTCCGCAAACTCCAGCGCAGCCACAATGTATCACTCTGTCTTCACATATGTCCTCTGAGATTCTATTCAAGCCCCCCCCCCCCCCCGCGCACAAGCACACACACACACACACACACACACACACACACACACACACACACACACACACACACACACACACACACACACACACACACACACACACACACACACACACACACACACACACACACACACACACACACACACACACACACACACACACACACACACACACACACACACACACACACACACACACACACACACACACACACACACACACACACACACACACACACACACACACACACACACACACACACACACACACACACACACACACACACACACACACACACACACACACACACACACACACACACACACACACACACACACACACACACACACACACACACACACACACACACACACACACACACACACACACACACACACACACACACACACACACACACACACACACACACACACACACACACACACACACACACACACACACACACACACACACACACACACACACACACACACACACACACACACACACACACACACACACATGTACTTGTACTTGTAGTTGCTCACTGCCAAAACTGGTCACGTGGGTCTCCCCGGGAGAGGGGAGAGAGACTCAAAAGGAATCTTGGAAAGATGACTCAATTGGCCATTGAACCACCCAACGGCCGACACCCCCTGAAATCCCCAAACTAGGGTGGACTTGAAATGATCCCACTTATGGGCTCACCACACCTCAGTAAGTGGGTGAGGACAAGGTGCAGAAAAAGGATTGACGGCATCAGGGTATCCGTCCCGGGATCCAACTGCAGGTACCCCTGCCCCCAGTGAAGGTAATACTTGGTACTAGTGTGGGTGGCTAAATCAGTATGGATCTGATATAAGCTTCACTAGCACCATTGATTACACAAGAGTTAATCTAGCCAGAAGCAGTCCATGGTTAACAGGTATGTATACTTCAAATAGAAAGTATATGAACCCTGAAACCAACAAAGGTGGTAGGTACAACAATACACCTTCAAGCAGCCGAGCCCGTTGGCAACAGGCCCGACACTATCTGGCATAAGTGTACCCACCAACCGAACTAGCTGGCACACATACACACACACACACACACACACACACACACACACACAAATACACCTTACTGCTGAGTCATACACCAGTTACACTTACCTCCATCCTATTTTTCACCTAACATATTCACAACAATATGTTAACTTTCTCAGAGTCATTAGTTGCTGTCTTCAGACATATACTTCAGTAGTACTTCAGTAGTACTTCAGTAGTTCAACAAGTACCTATGCCATGCATATTTTGTGATTTATTATCCAGATGATGGGCCAGGCCCGAAAATTTTGTGTAATGTAAATCTTAATTTATTTTTACCGTTTTTGGAGTTGAGCAGTGGAAAAGTCCGATATCAAATGCACAGTCGACTCAAGCTTAGCTGTTGACTCCACCATTGTGTGGATTCCGCCACTGCCATAGTTGCTGATCTCGTCATCTCTTAATTTCCGTTGCTGTACTAGCATGCATAGTACAGTTTGTAAATGGGTGTTTTTGTGGTTGCTTGTTTGCCGGTCTGCAAAGCTTGAGATCTATGGACACTTCCGAAGATTATTTACTGGTTGTTTCACATGGATAGTTGCTTGTGAGGTGATGTTGTTTGGGATTAATGCCACTGTGTTAGACCATCTTGTTCCCGGATGGCTCTTCTGGTGGCGTGCATCGCCTTCGTGAACGCGTGGTATGTGCGTATTCTGGAGTGAGGTGCAGCGATGAATTTGCTTGCTTCCAGATGTTGAAGTGGTCTACCTACTTATCGGCTCTCATATTGCCAGCACTCGAAATGATAAATCTATTTGGATAGGTGGGCTGTAGGTAGGACATCCTCCCTCAACGTGAAAGTGGACTAGATGAAACGAGTATAGACATTTTTTTATAATTGGACTCTGCGGTGGATGTTACTCAACGTTGAACTACACTAGGGGCATAGCAGCCGGTCCGACCGGTCTGGCTTTGGCCGGACCACTTTTTTTTTGCCAAAAGTGCCCCTAATGCAGGATTTTGCACCCAAATTATTATCACGGGGATACCCCCAGATCCTCTCCCCACACCCCCTATGGGCAGACCACATCTAATAGTGATGCTACGCACTCGCAGACATGATACTGACTCGACCTTCCACAATAAACACAGGTATCCTGGATTAGTGGAAGCCTCAACGTTCCTCTATCGGCTGGACACAGTTACATAATTCATAATTTCAGACTCGTGGCAACCATTGAGACGAAACGGTGCACATAACTTCTCCAATTCCTGCTCCAACCTTGATGACGAACAAAGAGATAAAATAAACAATAGAATAGACGAGAAAGCAGACAAGATCCGAACAGCTAAGCCTCAGTCGACTACACATTTGATCTCGGACTTGTCCACTGCGCCTTGATCCTAGAGGGCGGCGGCGTTCCTGGGATGCGGAAAAATGCGCTTCCAGGCGAGTCTCGGAACCGCGATCTTTTTGTCCACATTACATTCCGAATGTTACTTCTGAGAAGTATACTTTGTTCATTGCCTGTTGCTTGTTGGAGCATCCTCAATTTCGAGCTGTGTACTAAGGTGATTGTTTTCTCCTTTGTCTAGTGCATGCAGTGCAAAGTTGTTGAGCATTCTAGAATATGTGTATAAACACACCAAGACACTATTTATTTTATGTACGCACAAGCAGATGCGATTCACACTTAATCTGTTGAAGCTTGATCTTATCTTCTTCTTTTTTTCTTTTTTTCCTTTCTCTTTTCTTAAAAATGTTTTACTGCCAGAAGTCGTCTTCATATAAGGAGGCAGATATGCCTGTTTGTTGTACGACTTTAAATAAATCCAACCAACCCACCAACTAAGCGATATAGCACTTTCATGTTTCTGTAGTGAAACTTTTGTATCGTGCCTGTTTCTGATTCTGGCTCTCTCCTGTCCCTCTGTTCATAGAAATTTGAAGGGAAATGTGATCAAGGTTGTCCGGAATGGTGACTTGGCCCACATCAATCACCTCTATCAGGTGTAAGTGTTAAGAAACATGTTTTACATTAATTACGTCAAGAACCGCCGCAGGGGGGCGACATAGTTGCGCTCCAAAACATTTTCTAAGGGTTACTATGATCAGACATCACGACACCCTGCTGTTAATCCACCATGCTGTTAACCTACCCTGCTGTTAATCCACCGTGCTGTTGTGCAGCATATATTATGATTACACCAGTGCCATGTTACGGAAGGGCACAGTGCTTCTCCAATATTATTTCAGGGAACAAAGCTTTTGGCTTTGAATCATTTTGCCTGCTTTCTATATTACACGTATCTTCATAGTTCTAGTTTCTATCTGGCTTCTGTTTCCATTCCAGAGATCTGAGCGACAATGTCATTGACACCATAGAGCCATCGGCATTCTACCACATGCCTTCTTTGTCAAACCTGTAAGCAATTTTTTAAAGTGTTGCCAATAAGTTTTCCTTTGTTTGCACAAACATCTGACTTCAAACAATCATGTCTGAATAAAATGCTTTCTTTAGGACCAAAAGTGTTACAAAGGAAAACATTTGAAATGCCTTACAATACCTTTGGAGACGTTACATCATTCTGAGACAACATAGTCAGTGAGCAAAGAAAGCATGTCTGTGTGTGTGAAGAATAATGCCAAGATTATAATAATTAAACTCAGATGGAGAGCCCAGGATTAAAATTAAAAAAAGAGATGACCAAAACTTTACAAGTTATCAGTTTTTTTTTCTTTTTCTTTTTTACTGAATACCACAGTACCATCAGATGCTGCACAGCGGGGGCGGTAACATATTGGATGGAAGTGGGGCGGGGCAAAAGTAACTCCTCCGACCAAAGGTCTTGGAATCATTGTTACTCCTGTGCGCCGATACATAGGAGAAAAGAAACATGTGCATCCAAGAGGGGAGCACCGGCTTTGCAAACGATAATGAGGAGAATTTGAGATTGGGATAGTACAAACAATAGTAAAAGGAGTGCACCGTAGGAAGATTGAGTGAACTGATAATCGGATTTTAAGGCTGAGCGAAGGGGATCAAAGAGGGGTAGAAGGGAGCTGGAGTGCGGTCAGTATAATTAGGCTGGTGCGTTGGCAGAGATCATAGCCTGTATGTGGCCCACTCCCACTTGCTGCGCCGCAAGTGGTCGTTGACGTTTTCTTGAACGTGTGCATGCCTCTGCGAGAAGGGGGAGACTGCAGAAGGGTAGGTGGGAGCTGATTCCACGTTGCGATGAGGGAGTGGGGAAATGAGCGGAGCGTTTTGTTTCGTGCCTGAGGGGGATGGATACTGGTGAGTTGCGATGGATGATGTGTTGCAGATCTGGTTGTCGCTCGAGTAGGCATGCGGTGTTGCGGTGCGGCTGCTGATGGTGGCAGAATGGCTTTCACCATTTCCGGACCCTCCACAAAGTGCAGCTTGTACAGAAAGCAGAGCCCTGCTACGGTACGGCGAATGTCGAGGCTCGGGAGGTATGATCCATCTCCAATTATGTGCAGGGCACGGCGCTGGATGGCAGTGAGGCGGGCCAAGGTGGTGGGGGCTGCGCTCATCCACACCAGCATGCCATACTCTAGCACAGGGCGGACAAAGCCACGGTACACGATTGCCCGGTGCTTTGGGTCTAGCACAGCCGATGCCTTACGGAGGAAGCCGAGCCGCTGGGCTCCGCGTACTGCAAGCTGTCGGATATGGCTGCGGAATGCCAGCTGCCTGTCGAAGGTGACGCCAAGAAGCTTCAGCTCCTCTACTTCTGGCACGACTGCTCCTTGGAAGCGTATTGCGTTCGGGGGGGGGGGGGGGGGGGGTTGGCGAGCGGTGGTGGCTGATGGTCAATGCCTGCGACTTTGTGGGCTCGAACTTGATCCTCCACCTGCTTTCCCATGCTGCCAGTGAGTCTACTGCCTGCTGGAGGATTGCTGTCTCTTCTGGCAGTCTGAGTCGGGTGGTGATGCACTTGTAGAGAGTTGTGTCGTCGGCGTATACAGCCAGCTTCGCCCCATCAGGCAGGTGGTCTGCTGCGTCATTGACGTACAGAAGGAAGAGGGTGGGGCCGAGGATGCTGCCCTGTGGCACGCCAGATTGGATTTGGTGGGTCGGTGAAAACTGGCCACCTATGACGACACGGATGTGGCGGTCTGTCAGGTAACTCCGGAGCCAGGCAAGGAGGAGGCCACTTATGCCGCACCGCTCAGCCTTGTGGAGAACGCCGTTGTGCGAGACCTTGTCGAAGGCCCCGGCAATATCTACTGCGAGTACCCTGACGAGGCCTCCACTGGCAGCTGCAAGGCTCCACTCATGCTGAAGAGCAATCAGCAGATCAGAGGTTCCCAGTCCAGTGCGAAAGCCAAACTGCCTGTGAGGAAGGATGTCATTCTTCTTCAGGAAGTTGGACAAGCTGCGGTTCACGATGGACTCCATACACTTAGACATTATGGGCAGTAGTGATATCCGTCGGTAGTTTCTGGGGTTCGACTTGGGGCCTTTCTTGTGTACCGGTACGACATTGGCAACTTTCCACATGGCAGGTTGATGACCACTGCCGAAGCACAGGGTAAACAGCTTGGATAGGGGCAGGGCCAGAGAGTCGGCACATTTTCTCAGCACTCTAGCAGGTACTGCATTAGGCCCTGTGGCTTTACTTGGGTTCAGGGCTCGGAGTGTCCGGCGTACGGTGGCTTGGCGGAAGTGGACTGTTGCAAGCGTATTTGCGGTGCGCTGGTGGACATGCGGGAACGGCCCCGACTGTTCTGCAAAGTCATCGTTTAGGGTGCACTTCTGGGCAAAGTATTTCCCGATGACGTTAGCCTTGTCAAGGCTTTTGGTGCATTCCATGCCATCGGGGTCAACCAGGACTGGGATGGAGCTGTCCCGGCCATGCCCTCCAACTCATTTAATCACGCTCCACCACTCTCTGTCCTGCAGGCTGCCCGTCCGGAGCCGTTGCTTGACATGGTCGAGATGTCTGGCTTTGGCTCTTGCTAGATATCTTGTTGAGTCAAGGGATGCTAGCTTGTACGTACACTGGAGCGCTCCATTTCTGGGGTCATCGCGGAATTTCCGCCAGGCATTGCGCTTTCTGTCAACTGCTGCAGAGCATTCTGGCGTTCACCAGATTGGGTCCTGCGGTCTGGTCTTGAAGACCTTGGATGATATAAAGCGTTGCATTCCCTCAGTGATTCGCATGGTCAGAAGCTCACATGATATGTTAGGGTCGTCGCCGATTATTGTGTCCCAGTCAGTAGTCCGGAGGAAGGCAGAGAGGCGGGGCCAGTCAGCCCGCTGGTATCGCCATGCTGTACGAGTGGTGGGTTGGTCTACAGATGCAGTAAGCTGGAAGTCGGCTATGACAACAGCATGGTCTGATCTGCCAAGAGGTGGTTGGGTGGTGGTAGACACTGTTCCAGGCACATCTGACATGACGAGGTCAAGGATGTTTTCTCCACGAGTGGCTGAGGTGACGTGTTGTCCAACACTAACAGTTATAAGCAGAAGACTGTTGAGTCAAACATGTGCAACAGTTAGCACAAAACCGACTGATGAGATCATGACATTCAACGACCTGATGTTTAGCTGCATCACGTCTAGAATGCGCAAACCAGCAGCAGCAGCAGTTAGTGTTGGACAAAACAGATAACTTGTAAACTTTTGGTCCTCGCTTTAATTATAAAAATTATTATGGCAAGCAGACATAATTATTTGGATGGCCTACGACTTTGATTGAGAAACAGAGGGCACCAGGTTCAGGTCCTGTTTGCAAACGGAATGGTGTTTGGGACTCTGTTCTAGCCGTGCTGCCACCCATAGCTAATTGGGAACTTGTTACCTGGCACGAGAGAAACATGGATGCAGCGAATATGAGTTTTCTGTCTTTGACCCTTTGCTGGTGGGCTGATCTACTCACCTCTCACCGCTTTAGGAGCTGCATCTGCACCTTTGTTCCTTGCACGATGGTGGTGTTCCTACAGATGCCGAAACTTCAACTGAGTCTCAAGCGAACCGTGAATTTTCTATAATCTATCACGCAAACGGGGGGGGGGGGGGGGGCAGTGATCAACTCTGTTCGTGCATTCCACCTGCAAAGGGAACTGTCAGAATTGCAGAATGGCATCATTTTCATGATGTCAGCAGCTCCGTGCATGCAGACAATCCACAAGACTAGCTATGAGCATTGCAGCTTCGGTCGTGAGAACTTGTGATAAAACTAAAAGTTGATGTTTCCTTATGGCTCACTCAAAATTGTCAACATTTCCTAATCGTCAAAGCTGCTGAAAGTCTATACCCAGAGGATGGGAAATTATAGATGAAAAACCCACTTGCGCCTATCACGCTTGCAAATAATCAGCTCATCTCTTCCATAGCTTCACCTCTCCTTCCATCAGGACCGGACATAAGCTATACTTCATTTTTTTATCATTATTACAGCAATATTCATAGCCTGCACAGTCATGGCTGCTAAAATCCAGAGGTCATGACTTCATAACATGCATAATGTACATGTACATAATGTACATGTACATTATAGAATATGGACATAATAGAACATGACATTATGTACATGTACATAATGTCATGTTCTATTATGTCCATATTCTATAATGTACATGTACATAATGTACATGTGCTATTATAGTACATGTTTTGCTGACTACCCGTCACTATCTCGTCCGCCCGGGATACCTGATAAAGGCTGATTCGCTCGCATCGCCTGCTACAATAACTGTATCAGTGTTAGAAAGAACTTTCAAGAAGACGAGTTCGAGAATACAATAATGAACCTGGTGCCATGATTTCTAATTTGTTTTTCATTAAAAAACCCGATCTGCATGACCTCCGACCCAATTGCCATGCAGCCGACAAGCACTGATCAGGTGCATCGTACACAATTGTTTAGCCTACATACTAGAACTGTGGTACAATCATGTAGCTACGCTCCTACCAGAATTTCCCACCTTGCTCCCCCTTATGTTCTGGCTGCCCGTTTTGGATCCATCAGTTGCCTGATGATCGTAGTAATACGTGTAATACTCAGAGTTGTAACAAAGCTTCCAATTTCTCTCTTATGTACAAGGCTCTGCCCTACTAGGCATTGAGCACTCTTCGGACAGTGAAGCACACCACTTGACTACGAAAAGAAAAAGGACCAAGGAACTACAAGTTACGCTATAATGTCCACTAACACCACCAGTTACTAAACAATCAGCCCAGGCAATAACATTGCGTGACAATGACCAAGGGTGCTGCCGTTCTACAACCAACTGGCTATCAGCTCTAGCACGCATTGTATGCGCACTCGAACGGCCTTGGTTGATCACATAGGAGGGGAAAGTGAGCGCAACCAAGAAAAGAATGAGCTGAAAGCCTCCGCTGTGAAGGACGTTGGCGGATGTACATGGATGTTAGTGGACATCAAAAAAGTCGCACTGCAATTATGCAACTACGTAACTTGTAGTTCCTTGGTCCTTTTTCTTTTCTATATAATTATTTATCCTTGCCTCTAAATCCGAGTTAAAAATCATTCCATTCTTCATTTTGTATAATATTTTTCTTCATGTAGTCCCAGACACATAAGTAGATATACATGTAGTTGCATAATTGCAGTGCGACTTTTTAAATAAAGAAATAAAACAGCATCAGCAGAGAACCTTTGAATTGTAGCTTCTGTATGAGTAGCAGAGCTTTGTCTGTAGCGTTTTGTTTTGGCATGTGCTGTCCAGTTTTATCACCTGTATATTGATGGTGCATGCCAATTTTCTTTTATATTTCTCATCAGGGACTTGAGCAACAACCAGATCACATCTCTTCCAGGCGAAATGTTCCTCAGTGTGGGGTTTACCAGGTATGTTACCCCTTCCTCTATTCGATATGGAGGAGCTCATTTTGGTAGAACAAAGAGCATAGAGACTAAGTGACACAGCCCTTTGATCAATACAAGTAAAAATGTGCAGCACGCACGCTCACAGCCACACCCACACAATAAAACAATTACCGTATTTCCTCGATTAATGGACCATGCTCGAATAATTGACCATGCTCAAATAGTAAACCCTCCTAGAGGCCTCACGGAAAAATAGTAGACCATGGCCGAATAAGAGACCCGGTCTCTTATTTGAGTTCATTGTGTTGCG